CATCTTCATACTTTCTTAATAAATGTTCTGCTCCTTGTTTTTCTGAAGGTGTAAGCCCATCTTCTTCAATCTTTACTAAATTCAGGACATCTTTGGTTTGCTGGAGGTTAGAACAAGGAATATCTGTTTGATTTGGTTCTACTTTCACAGGTTGTAGCTCGCAAAGTATAGATTTAGGTGGAACTTGTACTGTCCTTGTAGTGATGTTATCAATGTCCACTCTTATCACATGATTGGCTGGATAGGTATAGTCTGTAAGTGATGGTACAATATCCAGGTCTGATGGAATTACAGAGCAGGATGTGGCTTGTAGAACAGCTGTTGTAGACTGATATGGTATAGCTTTGTCGACATATCCCGATATAGAAACCGTTGAATTAGGTGGTATAATAATGCAGTGATTTTCAGCTGATTTTACAATTCCAAGTCTGTTGTTGTTGCGAGCAAGTTCTTTTTCTCGTATTGTCATTCCTCGAAAAGCTAAATACCATGGTGTGAATAATGCAGCATCCTGTAGATATCTGTCTCCATATTTGTCTTTGACATCATCTAGCATATGTTGTAGTATATTTGTTCCTATAAGTAGTGGTACTGTACTGTTGTAATTGCTTGTTGATACAACGAGTAATGGAAACTGTTGTTCTTCTGATGATTGTGGTAATCCATTACTGATGATAGAAGCCTCGATGTATCCATGATATGGTAATTGTTGACCATTAGCACATTCCACTTTTAAAAGTTCTTCTATTGGATGAAGTTCCAAGTGACTAAGATGTTTCATATAAAAATCATAGCTAACTGTTGACACAGTAGATCCAGTATCTATCAATGCTCTGACTAAGTTTCCTTCTAAACTTGCTTCAACTTCTGAAGTACTCCCTACTAATTCACTGGTTCTACTCCTATTAGGGCTTCTCCTGTATTGACCTATCGTCTGCCCCGCAACGAAGGTCTCCTGGTGTTTAAATGTCTTCTGCTGTGGTCCAGACGCACATGACATCTACGTGCTATATGTCCAGGTTGTCTGCACCTATAACATATAGGTTCTCCATCCTCTGTCTCTTGTAAAGCAGAGTCCTGATTGTCGCTATATCCATAATCATAGCCGTATCCCTGATTATATCTTGGACCATTGTAATTCCTGTATTGAGGACGTCCACTGTATGAATTTCCAGATCCATAGTTTCCTCTTCTGGACTGTGGCTGAACTCTGTCATATGGTTCACCAAGATCTTTGTAATTCCTGTTTGTGCGCTGTTGTCCTGATCTCTTATTTCCTTCTTCCATAGCACTGACTTTGGTAGTAAGCTGTTGAATCATTCCTTTAAGTTCCTTAATCTCATCTCCTTTCTCAGCTTCACTTAATGCTACAGCCATATTAGATTGTGCCTTCTTCGTTTCATGTTCCTTTTCTACAAGTCTGATTTCCTTCCTAAGTTCATCAAAATTGGTCAGTGCATCAAATTTGTATCCAGTAATATCCTTAATCCATTGATGTAATCCATTCCAGAATTTTGATCTTAATTTCTCATTTGCATCCTCCTTGGTTGCAACTCCTTTGATAACAGCTTTCCTATAAATCTCCTCTAACCGACAACTCCAACTCATGCTATCCTCTCCTTTTTCTTGTCGCGCACTGTAAAATTGCTCCATGATGGTTTCTCCTCGTTCTATAGTGCCGAATACACTCTCCATCTTGTCCAGTATCTGGGTGACAGTGGCTCCAGGACCAAGTCTCATGGCAACCTTTCCTGCATCTCCTCGCAATGATCTCCTAATTGACTGAGCAATTGTTTCCTCCTTGTACTTCTCCTTGATCAAGCAGTCAACTTCATATCGCCAAAGATCATATGTGGTGTCATTCTTGCTGCCATCTCCAGAAAAGCAAGAGATCTTTGGGATGTGGGAACTGATGGTGCTTCCTGATGCTGATAAATTTCCAGTATCTGTGTGTGGTTCTGTCTTTACATTGACAAATTCCTCCTCATTCATTTGTGCAACATACTGAGTCATCCATTGTTTGAAATCCTGTGCTGTATCAGCTTTAGGTTTTACATTTAATTCTTTGAAAACTGATGCTATTTGATTGAGTTCCTCCTGTGAAATTTCTACTGACATGATGATTTGTTGTTGATCGATTTCTGAATAAACTTCTCTAATTTACTAAATACTAAGTACCTAGTAACTAAATCTACCTTAATTATCTTAATAAATCTAAATTATGTAAACTACATCCTCTGAAGTTGAAGAATCCAATGTGTAATCCAATCCGAAGAGTCCGAAATGAAGTTGAATAATTAAATCTTACTAATTAATAAAACTAATTAAACTTAAATTCTAAATATCTACTTAATTAAATTTTAATTCTATGTAACACTAAATTTCACTGAAATGCAAAAGTATTATACACCTGAAAAGCAAAATTTAATATTAAATTTCTAAATAAGCTGAAATGAAAATAAGTAAATTAAATATCTTAATAAGTTCGATAAATATATATCAAAGTTCAAAGAATGTACCAACTAAATCCTAAATAAATATAACCTTAATCTAATACTGTATTCTAAATAACTACAGTGGTTTTAAGTAATGAAGGATAACTCTAACTACAAACTTACACAAGGAAGATAACTCTGTTCTTCAGTACATCGTGTGCGCTCAAGCGTGACGAACTCTCGATCAGGGGTCAAATACCCGATGTAAACAAAATAACGCGAAATCAAAGTAAACGGAACAACAATGCAAAAAAAAAATGAAAAGGAATTCAATGGGTAAACAATAAATGACGGACAATGGTGAAAACCACCAACACTGATTACTCAAAGTAATGTGACCTTAGGAATATGTACTTAAAAGTACAGCAATCTGAGTATTAAATGAAAGATTTCACATATTTACTACAGGGGTGATAAAGCAACTAAATACTGACTAGATCGACAAATCTGATCAAAACAATTAACTCACTAGACACTACCTCAAATCACCTGTAAACAACCTGTACCTGAAAGTCTAAATGTAGGTCACTAATGTCAAGGTCAGCTGATCAAGAGAAAAGAGATTAATGTAGGGTGGAAACAGGTATCTTAGATTAATAGAATTAATTTCTCGCACACTACAATTGTCTTTTGCTCAAAAATAAATAATATTTACATTTATATTATATACAGGAAGGATATAGCAGGCTATTTACTGTATAACACTAGTATGCCTGTCTGACTGGTCAGTCCAAAATACACGTGTTCTGAGCACAACAATAAAAAAAAACACCTTACCGTGCTGGCAAGCTTCTAAACACCACAATGAATAAATAGTCACACAAAGTTCAATTTTGTCACTTTCACTGAAAGTCCAGCGTTGAATGGATTACGCAGTAATCACAGTCTCTATCTGTACACGCTATACACCACGTCGGTGGATCCTAGATCCTCCTAGGCGTGAGATCCTCACGGTCAGTCTCGCAATGGGCAGTCAGCCAATCCCGCCGTGGATGCCATTGAAATGGGGTTCGTTTATATGAGAATAATGACAAACGCCATGCTGTCGTTGTTGATAAATATATTCACTCTCAGTATAATCAGTATTATCACAGCTCTGAAATATATATAAACAATCATAAATATTTTATAACAAAGCATACATGTAGATCACTTGCCAGATAGCACGGTCAAATGAAGAGTTATTTCCCTTTAATTGTGCTCATAGATAAAACATTAAGAGTTATCTTTCTTAATCAATAATATGTACAAAGTATGAACACTCTGGAATATATAGATAAAACAATGAGATCAAATTATACTGAACTCTTCCAGAATAATATAATTATATAGACAATATTCAAAATATATATACATCATACCTATATGTGATATAGAGCCAACTCCAAATATATACAAAGCTGAACACAGCTACATGTACTCTATTCAGTGATCTGTGTATGAATAATATAACTTTACTGTATTGCACACTTATTCTCACAGATATAAAATATACTTATTACTCTGAATATTTACAAAGTCATAAAATAATCACACAAACTGAACTTTCATACTTTATATTAGAATATTATTATTTGGTAATTTAGCAGATAAACAATTATATAGAAATAATGAAATCAGTAAAAGTAAACTTACATTCTGTCCTGTCTTGGTCATTGTCATAAATAAGTCATCATATCAAAAGCCAATATGTCTACTCAGACCAAGATCTCCAACAAAAGTAATTAACTAAGTAAAAACCAAAAGAGAGGGAAACTAACCAACCAATGAAATCCAAGTTGGCCTGGACACTACACAAGATATATATAGAAAAGGGACAGGGGTTAAAATGACCACTGTGATGTCATACATCTATAAATAACTCAATAGACACAGATTGATGTAAATAATTCCATGTGGATTTATTCAATAAATGAAATGCTGTAAAGAAATAAATATGACAATTTAACTGAATTAATTTAATCCTGAAATATAATAATTAATATATAAAATAAATCACTCTATCACATACATATCTACTTTAAATTTTCTGGATTATATCTTTATTTTTTTTTCATTAATACACAACAAATTTCTACTTTTCTTAAGTATATAAGGATAAAGTTAACTTTGTGAAAGTGCAAGATGTGTAAAAAAAAAAAAAAAAAAAAAAAAAAAAAACGTGTCCCGAAATTCGTAGTTTCAATAATTTCCAGATAAAATAAGTTTTTTTGATTATATTTCTATGTGAATTGCTCTATCAACATATAAGTCATGATACTATACAGAAAAATGATATTATACAGAAAATTTGAGAAATAATAACTTCAAATCTGTGTCTATGTCCCTTTAAAAGGAATTTTAGCAAAACTAAAATATCTTTTTGAAGGATTTTTTTAGGGCCGCTTGACAGCTGATTTTGAAGACCCATAATATTACGCTATATCCCATTATCTGAGAGTTCAGAGTTGGTTTGTTGTTTAGTAAATGCGAAGCGGGCGGATCAACTTCGCTTCTTTTACTCACCTGCAGGAAACACTTATTTCAACTTGAGTTGAGGGATTCACGGCTGAGCCGGGTATAAAGCCCTGATTAGCCATGGTTTCTTCGGTTTCACGGTCTAGGCTACGAAAAAAATCATACTGATGATGACAGTATTATAACTGGCATAAGATTAAGATATAAAGATACAATCCGCCAATCCCTGTGATCTACACTTGTTTACATCCGGTTTGGAAAGTCCTGGCTAATTGAAGGCTTTGCAGAAATTGAAGGCATACGGACGACTTTCTAAAATGTGGGTAATATATAGTTAGAATAATCAAACTGTGTCTCGGGACAGGCCCTCACCACAGTGTTTAACCGGGTCCGTAGGATATTTTTCATTTTAACGATAGAACATTCTATCTAGGTCTTATAATAAGTGCAACTCAAAGGACCATTTACTTGAGGCCCATAGGCCACAATACTCACCTTAAGACTTTTTCCCTATTCATTCCCCTGAAATATTTGATCCCATATTAATTGTGGCCTCAACCTAGTCTCAGGTGGATATGATTTAAAAGAACTTGAACCTACACAGCACTGGGAGATCATCCATCCTCCCAAAGTGTGAGGGTTTTTTGTGTGTGTGTTTTATCTGGCGACCAACTATAAAAAGCCTTTCGATGACTGACAATGGATTTTTTTTTGTGATGATTTATGGTGTGAAAATCACAAAAAATTGTCAAAAATCATATTTCATGAAGCGTTGGGGTAATAAATAGGAAGCGACCCCATTTTGTATAAATTTTAACACCCAGTTATGTAAAAACATTCCAGGTGTATAATTAATTTTTTTCCGGAGAGGCCCAAGAATTTTTTTCAGGAGAGGCCCAAGAAAATCCGATTGCATTCAGCAAGTGTTAGGAAGTAATTACAAGGGGGATGGGTGGGAAAACATTTTTATTTGGGGGGGGGGGGGGTCTATCAAACAAAATTCCTTAACACATAAAGAAGAAAAGGCTTATCAGTCGTTATTATTGAAGGAACACAAGCAAAAAAAAAAAAAATCTATGTATTCTAAAGTATTAACTTATACTATATATTGAAGGGGGCACGGCCTATGTATACTATACGACATCTGTGCCCATCGTTCCTATATAATATAGCCATGTAACACTTGCATTGATAGAGGTATCAATTGAGTCTGATTGACTGAATGAAAATTGATCCGAGGTTCATTTTTCATCGTTGAATACGAGACCAAAAGTTAAGATATTTTTACCTGGAGTATTTTTTTAAAACAGCATTCTCTCTCTCCCTCTCTCTCTCTCTCTTTGACGCCCCTCAACGCTATTGAATATTGTCCCCGGCTACCACGGGCACTAGAAGTTATACTATATCCTTTCGACGGCAGTAACGTAATAAGTCGGATATATAAACCTCGGTTCATATAGTCAAGGTGTTTTCCTGGAGGACAGCAACAGCTTAATAAAACGGATATTAAGGGGAAGAAGGACCTTATTAATTAATTGAGGTGAAAAAATACCTGTCATTCAATTTTTTTTCATATTTTGTATATTTCTTATTAAGTATATATGTCCCACATATCTTAAAGCAATTATCATTAGGTTTCTAACCTTATTTTAGAGATATTGATTGACAAATACTATGCCCTACAGTATCTAAGTAGAGTTTTAGTTCTCCATGTTTCCGGGCCCATTACTCTGTCCATAATGGGGTTTTTTAAGCAAAGATAAAAAATATGTAAGTGGACATGTATCTTTTAAAATATTTCATAGTATGAATAGGGTTTAAAATTCGAAAAAGCAAGTTTCTTCTATCACATTGCATCTGGATAGCGAAAATTACGTACTTTTTAAGACAACTTTAACAACAAAAAACGTAATTTACCAAAAATTCTATCATTCAATATTTTTAAATTTACGTTGAAATGTAAGTCCTTCAAATTATTGATTAACTGTAAAAATTTCGAATGGTGAAGCTGACCTCAATATTGCACAGGACATCGTTAAAGAGGACATAAGCATGACAAAAACGTGTCATGTTTACATTTCTCGAGTACGGGAAAAACCAAATATGACGTCACATGTAGCTAAATAAGCGAAAGAAGATATACCTACATAAGATTTCCGTCATCAGCCATGCAAAAATAATTTTTGTATTCCCCGTGTCTCAGAATATTTTATCATATAATGATTAAGGTATTCAATGTATAACGACCATATTTTGTATCTAATAAATGAATGGTCCTATATTTGTAATTATGGTATCATTTTGATGATGTTGTGAAATAAAAATACTCCACCAAAGAAATTTTAAAAATTTTTATTATTGTCAAATTAATTGCACCTTGAATTTTACATTGAAGTCTATGGGCAATGCATGAGTTATTAAGATATTGTAAAAAGTATTTTGAATTTCATAAAAAGCTCTTGGTGAAAATATGCATACACTCTCTCATTATTAAAATATGAAATAAAATTAATCATTTACCACAGATATTTTGACGAAATTAAAATTTTCTTCTTTGCATCAAGGGCAGATAACTCTTCAAAAACTTTAAAAGTGCAGAATGACTAGCTTCTTATATGCTATCAGTCACGTGAATTTGGTTCATTTAACTTTCATCGTTATCTAGCAATGCAATTTTAACTAGTTTAAAATGATTCAACATTCTTCAAAATCCCTTCATTATACATTGAATACCTTAAGACCTGTTTTCACAAAGTAATACCGCCCCTGTATTCACTGAGTATGATCTTGCTGTACTAGCAGATCGTGTATGACGTCACCGACTTGTTGGACGCGCAGTTTAGGGAAACAGAGGAGTGGATCAATCTTTTTCATAATTTGTTAATGTTTACAAGAATTTTAAAACTTTTTATTTTTTTAATATAAGATGGTTATCAAAGTTTTAAAAAATGTTAAAAAATTATACAAGAACTAATGCTTTACACGTTTTGCACTTATATAAACGGATACTATGACGTAGTTAAACAGAGTCATGTGACCATGTGTCCTTCATCCCCATAAATTCCAGGTTCAAATACCTGAGCGTGTTTTACTGTACAATGGCCAGAGATTTAGCCCAAAATCTAAATATTCAATTGTGACCTCTGAATTTAAGAATGTATGTACCTATTTGGAACATGGCAGCGAGGGAGCACAGAGAGTCCCAAAATAATTTCACCGATATATAATAATATACTACAATTTACTGAATTATCATTATTATTATTTTATATTTCATATTCATTTTGTAACTGTCTGAAGAGCCATTAAAAGGCAGAATTCGCTTACAGTTAAAATGATTATTCGAGTCTTGTGATTTGTGATTCTTGATTTTTTCATTGGATATATCAATATTTTACTGTACCAAAAATTGGATTTTCTTAAAGTATATATATATATATATATATATATATATATATATATATATATATATATATATATATATATATATATATATATATATATATATATATATATATATATATATATTTGCATATGATGTAAATTGTCTTGTAAGCAAAAGGTCACATAACAGAATATGTGCACCGTTACAAATAATGAATTTGCGATTTCCATTGAAAAAGAAAACGTTATCAAAATATCTTAAACGTCCACAGTATGTAAAGTCTAATCCCACTTTGAGCATTCATTTAAAAAAATCTCTAAAACCTTTTTTGTACGTATACTTGCATACGATGAGATCCGAAGCGCGTGTTTAAATGTATATATCTGGCACATTGTTTTTCTACTACTGTATGACTCTCATTCAAAGTTAGACACCGTATAAAATGATTAAAATGCAACACAAGTGGTTGAAACTTAATACAACATACAAAAATCATTCTCGTGAAAAGTCTTCCCATGGCAATACAGACTTTGTATTGATTAAAGTTCGCTTTCATGGCGAGCAGTGTTAAGCAAAAGGTTAAGGTGCCACCTTCAAAACATAAAGATACTGAAGCTAATCCTGTCACCAATTCTTCTGGAAAGGACAACGCAATGGTTGGGTTCCAGGAGCATATTGGGCCAAAACAAAATGACAACCGCGAATCCAAGAGCCAGAACAGCAGCACAACATCCGTAAAACAAAGCAGCACAGTATCCAATGGGAAAACAGGTCGTAACCATAAAATCTTAAACGGAAGTGCAAATTTTGATCAGGGCTTGATTCCGTGGAATTCTCCCAGGAGCAAGGGGAATTCTCCAAGAGGTAAAATTGGAACGCAACATCATGGATACGCTTTTGGCAGTAAAACTGGACCTTCGTCTTCGGAGACCATCGAACTTCCCTTTCTTAAGGATAGTCTTTACACAGATACGATTTTAGTTGTAGAAGGAAAGAAGTTTTATATTCATCGATCACTACTGGGGTATGCATCAGAACATTTTCAGAAGTTGTTTGCCGTTGCGCATGCTGCCAATGCAGCGGGTGATAGAAAGACAAAACCAGAAATAGTAATTAAAGACAAAACTTACAACGACTTTGTGGAGCTTCTCGCATTTTTTCATCCTGGTGTTGTACGAGAACTTACAGGTACTAGTATTAGGTTAAAGGGGACCTTTTTTGTATAAGACTAAAGGAGACCTTAATTATTGAAAATCTAAATTAATATAATTAATTTAAAATAAATAAACAGGATTGTTTTAAGTATAAGAGTTTAGCATTTTAAAATTTTAGTTTAGAGCTCAGGACTGTCTCTTTTCTTTTTTTTAAAATGACAATATTGCATTTTTTTAATTTTCAGACAAAACTGCAGTTCGATTATTACCAATTGCAGATGAGTATGAAATGCGTCCTTTGAAAAAACGATGTGAAAATGTATTAGTCAATCATCTGAAGAAAAATTCTTCCCTCTTCAACTCTGCTACAAAAGGTCCTCCAACACAAAGATTCAGACGCGACAACGCACCAGAAATATTGCTAAAATGTACCAAGGCAGCCGACAAAGGTCATTCCAAAGCTGTTTTAGAAGAGTGTCTCAAAGTGTTTGCCAATCCCGACATTCCTCTGAAAGATTTAAAAAACAGTACCGATATTTCTGACCAAATCAAGGCAAAGATATTCGAAACCCGCGTAGACACAACATCTACCAAACTCACAAAAGTGGTTGGGGCGCTAGAGAAAGAAATGCACGAGAACAATCTCTTGAAGAAGCAACTGAACGATCGATACAATGTTCAGAAACCCGGACTGCGAATGTCCATTAATAGTTCTGTTGAAGAAGCACATCCAATTCCTTCGTCAGTTCCGGTGTTGCACGCGCATCACTATCATACTCACCACCGGCATAATATAGCAACCGGAAAAGACTTGCACAAACCGCCACCCTCTACCAAAAGAAATTCAAAGAAACAATAACTAAAACTGACGTGTTTTTATAAAATTAAAAACTTATTTCCGTGTTGAAAAATTGTTTGTTTGATATAGATTGTAGGCTGAAACATTGAAGATATTAAATTCGAGGATCATAATACAAAATCAGCTTTAATAAAAAGTATATAAATAATACATGTATGTTTGTATTAAATACAAGTATGCGGTTTGCAAAATGGGTAAACAGTCGGGTAAATGCCTGAGTATGCAAGTGAAAAATTATGGATTTATAAATTCTCTCAATAGAACTTCGAAGAATTTGTTTTTATTTTCTAATTGTTGAATTTGTGGCTGTGAATATTAAAAAAATCTGTCAACTTTTAAATTTAATATTTACGCTTAGTCAGCATATGAATTTAAATAAGAGATGTTTGTGAAACACTTATGCCCCCCCCCCCCCCAAATAATTGGAATTTTTCTAAGTCCAAGTGGTATAACTTTGTCAAAAATTGCTCGATCGTACCCAAAACAGAAGTTGGCCTAGATATTCTTATGATTAATCTGTATACCAAATTTCATTTCAGTATGTGCAACCTCTGCAAAGAAAATGAACGGAGACTGTTGATGGACCGACTGACAGACAGACTGACCGAGAGACCGACAGACAGCATGCAGCAAAGCAGTATGCCCTCCCTTCTTCGAAGGGTGGCATAAAAATAGAGTTTAGAGCATGTCATTTTATAACAAAACATGAATTAGATTTTGAAGCCCTTGGTTTGAACATTTACAAACGGCTACAGTCCTTTCTGACATATTTCATTTTACCAAATAAAATCTGCAACATGACCATTTTGTGCGGTCACCCCAAAAAGGGCGACAAAACACTACACTGTAGCCTTCATTTCTCGATTTTTTTCCTTTAAGAAAAAAATTGCACTAGTCAATAGAATTTAAACTTCTAACAGAAAGCCTGAAAAACTTTCTGAGTTTCAAAATGGTAATTCTTGGAGACTGAAGAAAAATTAAAATTTTTGAGTTTATGTTTTCTAACTATTTTAAAATAATAAAGAAAGGAGTAAAGCAAGGAGACAGACTAAGCCCAACATTATTTAACTGTTTTAGTAATGACCTACAACAATCAGTCATGTGTTCCACACATACAAAAACACACATGCATCTAGTTTAAGTTTTGCAGATATGGGCTTGTCTTGCTCTCATATTCCCATAGTGGTTTACATAATGCACTGAACAATTGCAAATTGCAGACTGGTGTTTATAAATTGGCAACCAAAAATAAACTCGCCTGTTTAGAATTTTTTGTCGGATGACAGAAAATTCAAAACAAACGAGTTTATTGGTCGGTAGAGGCGACTATAAAGGGTTAGGAGGTCGGTAAAATATTCAGGTTGGTAATAGAATATGTTTAGAATTAGGGAATGAAAGATAGTTGATTGACCAATGCTTTAAAGTGGAGAAACACATCCCAAAATCTTGCGCCGTAACTTGCACAATATATGCATTGCAGGATATGTACAGTAGAGTTATGGTCAAAGGCTAAAATATAAAACCATAACGCTACAGTTCTGCAGCATATAGAAAGCTATAATAAAGGATTATGAGGTGGGTTAAATATACAGGTTGGTCATAGAATATGTCTAGAATTAGGGAATGAAAGGTAGTTGATTGACCAATGCTAGAAAATGGAGAAATACATTCCCAACAGTGCGCAGAAAGTCTTACAGCGTAAATTGCACAATATTTGCATTCCTAGATCTGTAGCGTTATGGTCAAAAACTATAACGCTAGAGTTCTGCAGCTACCTCAAATCCAAAGACTAAACTTAAAGATAACCACGTTCTTATTGTATCGGTTTCTTCGATCATAATGATTAGCAAGAAGTCAAATATCATGTTGTAAATTTAGAATTTACAAGGGGGAGGTAAATGCAAATTTTGCATTTACCTCCCCTAGTAAATTCAAAATTTACAGCATGATACAAAACCCACAGTATGCGACATACATTTTATATAGACATATTTGCTAATTATAGAAGAAAATTAATCTATTATTATGTGTCACGTAAACAACACTCAGGCCCGTAGCAGCGGTTTCAAAAGTGGGAGGGGGAGGGGGCAACTTTCCTAAAAATCTGAAAAAAATTAATGTGGCCAAAAGGGTGGGGGTGCAACTTCCCAAAATTATCTGACAAGCCAAAAAAAAAAAACAAAAAAACAAAAAAAAACAAAAAACAAAACAAAACAAAACAAAAAACCTAATTTACTGTCCAAATCCTGGAATTTGCCAGAGCTCGACCTTGCAACATTAAAAAGTGGTTGGGGGGGGGGGGGGCAACCAGCATCTTAAGGAGGCTGGGGGGTCAACAAATTAACCATCAGATATAACTTAATTTTTTAGGTATGATATCTTAAGCTGTCAACTTTCATTTGGCAAAGAAAAATTTCATAAATTTTAGTTTTAAAATTTGATCATTTTTGTATATCTTTATATGGAGCTCTTCTTCTAAAGGAGATCAATATAGTTTGAAAATGGCCACAACCCCCCCCCCCCCCAGCCTTCTTAAAATTTACTATAGCGCAAAATACTTTACTCAGGAAAAAAAGTGAGGAGGCGGGTCCCCTGCCCCCCCCCCCCCCCCCCCCGCGTTCTATCGGCCTGACTAGGAATGTCGACGTATTCCTTTTAAATGAAACTTCATTACATTCTAATTTTTTACAAGAATGTTTTAATGTGTTGTAAGGAATACAATTTCCAAACATCATTTGATTATTTCAATTTTTTATTGATGCAATATTACTGATTACTAATATTCAAGAAGCGATGCAAATTATAGTTTCTTTGGTCATACAGGCAAATTTACCGGCAATATTTTCAGAGCTTTTTCGGTTGAATTTGTATTAATTTTTTAATGGTTTATTCTGCAAAAAGTTCAGCGACTACTCTTCGTATGAATTATCCAGTATATCATTACATAAGAGTGAAAGACAATACGTTTTATTTCCATAAGTGAACTCTTCAAAATTAGAGGCGCGTTTGGTCGTCTGAAAGGGACAGCATGGCGTTGCGGATAATACAAAACATACCAATCTCAATCCAATTTTTAATGTTAAATGTATTTGTCATTCCAATTAAAGAGTAAAAGAACTAAAAGTCTAAGACATATGTAAGAGAGCGAGAACCCTAAATTTATCATCCATAAATAAAAAATACGACATTTCCGAGGCATGTGTATTGTATTTAGATGTACCATACGATAAATAGATACATACGATCAACAATAGATATAAATTGATATCGTTGTCATTCCTGCTCTTGATTTATATAAAGTCCACAACAATAAAATATTTCATTGCATTTTCTTAGGATTTGTTCATCGACATTCAACATATTGTTTACATGTTTACGTTACGTTTGTCCCTGAAATCTCGCGAGATTTGTACATTTTCCGACTTTTTCACAAAAGAGCGCACTAAGAAGTATAACTCTTCCATAGTGGAAATAGAACGTATTGCGGTCATTTTCCCGGATACGGGAAGAAATAAGGTCAAGATTCATAAAGACAAAAAATTTTAATATGTGTCCAAAAAGATGACACTTGGATGGGTATTTTATAAGTGTTGGCAACAGTGGAAAATACAAAGGTAAGTACAAACAATTCAGTGTAGTATTTTGTGTGGTATCCTCACATGATACCATTTCGAATTTCCTCGAAATTGAAAACGGATAGCATAAAATGTATTTTGAAGTAGATAGGTATTATACTCCTCTTCAAAAAAATCAGACGAAGAACTCAGGGTTGTATGAGCAATTTTCAAATTCGGGAGGAGGTGGAAACGAACAGGTAATTTCCAAAATCTGCCCCCCCCCCCCCGCCAGAATCAAATGTTGTCTCATTTCTGTTATTAGGAGTGTAATAAAGATACGGCTAAAGCAAATCGTAATATATCATGATCATCCCACTGTATGGTGATACATATCGCAATATTTTACCCTTCATAATTTTTTTTAATAATTCATGTGTGACAGACACATGAGACAGTCTATCCTGAAATGAAAAAAACTCTAATCACAATGTGAACATGGTGAAAGCAGCTGTTAAAGACTATTTCTCAAGTTCAAAAAATAAAGAGTTTGGATCATTGAATAATGAAATAAAACAATTATTGATGTTTTTCAATCATTGTAATGATCAAGTCACCCACAAAGTACAATATTCACCTTGCCCTTAGGCCTTTGGGCTTGGTGAATATTGTACTCCTCAGGTGGATAAATCATCGAATTGACCCCCAAAACAGCACTAATTGTATAATAGATCATGATACATAGGTTAACAGTTTTTGTACCGCAATGTGGTATAATTTTTTTCTGTATTGAGATATAATATCAGCATCAGTATACTGTAACAGTTACACCCCTACCACTTATGTACTGTGTGTCCTGTCATACTAATCAAACATGCTTGAGAGGTATGCATTTGCAGTCAAGTTAAAAATTTTTAACCAATTTGTGATTAGTATTTAAGGCCAAAAAAATAATAGTCTTGTTTCCTGCTACCCGACCTACCCTATTTTTTGGCACCCGACCCTAAAGTTTTTTTTTTAATTTGGAAGAAAAAAATTGGGAATTTCCAGAATTTCATCGTTCTGTCACCGTAATCGGTTTTCGTGTTAACACAAAACAAGCATTTCATGAAATTCTTGTTTTAAATATGGACTTTCATAAAATACCACTTGAGTTGTGCATAAAAAGACATGAAATTTAATTTTTAAAAGACAATATTGACCTGTGACATGTTTAATTTGATCTTATATTAGTTCATATCCAAAAAATGCTGTCGGAAAAAAATAAAATAAAAATATAAAATAAAATAATTTTCCTACCTACCTACCCTATTTTTTTCAGGCTGGTAGCAGGAAACAAGACTATTATTTTTTTGGGCCTAATATAAATATTTGGGATTTGAACTGGCCATGGCATATGAAAAATAGAAACAGTGCTAACATGTTTTCCATATGTTTATTTATTTTTTTGGTTTCAGAGTAACACGGAATGTAGAGACTTACTGCTACCAGTGTAAAACCTTAGTACATTTGGTGCTGGATACAGAGGATTTTGAGATCTTGCCAGGAAAAATCATCAAACTTAAAGGAACTTGTGTTCGGTGCAATGCACCTATTATCAAAAATCATATTCTGAAGGGATGGCATAGAGCCCTTTTTTAAGAAAAATAACTTTCACTGGATCACTAAAAACCTACTGACCTCAATATGGCTATATCAAGTATATAGTCAATGTTTACAAATATGTTTGTTGTAAATGTTGACTTTGTATATCAGGAGACTTTAATTAAACCCAATAGTGGATGCAAGCTCAACACGCTCAAGAAAAGAAAATGTGATATACATGTATTTTAACTTAAGATCTATTGTCATAGGTTCAATTGACTAGATATGATTTCAGTTGAATTATTTATTGTTTTTTTTTTTAACTTATTTAATTTATAATCAATGAATTAAATTTTTCCAGAATTAAAAAAAGAATTCCTTCTTTTACTTGTGATGCAACATTTGCAGATTTTACTATAGAGATGTGGGTGCCCAGTAGTTATCACCAGGTTTGTCTGTCTGTCAGTTTATCAACACTTTTATGGGACATGATGAATTGCTCAAAGAATGATATGATGGGTAGGACATGTCATTGTGATGCAATAACTTTGAAATTTTATACAGATTCATATATATCATTTATATGTGTAGCATATACATGTATATGGGGAATAGTTAGAAGAATATATTGATAGATTTTGGGGTTACTTTGTCAGAGGTCAAGGACTGAGATTATTGATTTATTAATATATGTTAGTATTATGATGCAAGAACTTGAATATCTTGTATTTTGCAACCTGTAGAATTTATTATATAGGCATGGAATGCTTTTGAAAAGAATCCTACAAATTTTAGAATCGCATGCATGGTCAAAAGTAAATGTCAAAGGCCAGGATTATTTAAATGACCATTGTGATGTACCAGTAGTACCCGCTTATTTGGTTATTTATTCTTTTTTCATTACATTGACAAAGAGGACACCTCTTGAATAGAGGTCAAGGCCAAAAGTTGAAAACTACTCACAGGATGAACCTACACCATTCAGTCAACTTAATGGCCACTGAAAGGTCCCTGAATGGCAGAGCTCTGTCATTCAGTCAACTTTCAGTAGACTTTCAGTTTACCGAATGGCAGAATTTTATCCTGTGACTGATATGACTTTCTTATATAAGTGATGCATTATTCTGGTTACCGTAGTTTAATACATGTACTAAAAAGAAGTTCAACATTTATATTCATAGCAATGGAAAGTGGTACACTTGTATAGATTTTGAGCTCGTTTAATCAAGGAGGTGATCGTTCTTGCACCTACCCCCATTCTAGTGTGTCACATCTCAGGTGAAGTATTTTGACTTATCATTGGCCTTACTGCCTACACATGTACAGAAAGGAATATACGCCACTGTATATTCCTATGTATAACTTTGAACCCCAGTTATGGCCCCGCTTTACCCCCAGGTGGTCAAGATTTGAACAAACTTGATTTTACACTATGTAATGAAGCTTTCATATAAGTTCCAATTTGGTTTTTGAGAAGATTTTTGAAAGATGCCATTAAATTTTCACTTATTCTTCATTATCTTCCCTTGAAAGAGGGCGTGGCTCTTCACTGAACTTGAATCTCCTTCCCTCAAGAATGCTTTATGGCAAGTTTGGTTGATATTGGTCTAATAGTTCTGGAGAAGATTTAATGTGAAAAGTTTCTGATGCTGCTGCCATCAACAACAGACAAATTTTGATCAGAAAAGCAATGGAGCCTTAGGCTCGGTTGAGCTAAAAAGTCAGCATGGTTGGGACTCCCAATCACTTTTACATATCCATGGTATTTCAATAGGTCTTTTGACAGAAAGGTGGAATGACCTAAAAATGACATATAAAACTTTTTTTCTGTATACAATGAAATTTATTTGCATTCAGTATGAATATTCTGAAATGATACTTTGTTGTTCTGAGTATCACTTATTTTCCAATTTAATATAGTTTGAATATGGCATAAAATACTTCATACTTTTTTGTTCAAATGAATGTCTGAAAGAAATGTCTTTTGTTTTATCAAACACTTGCATGTCCTTTAATGTTTGATGAAGATTACAACTATGAGAAAAATCTCTCTGCATTACATCATCAAGTTTTGGAGAGAAAAATCTGTGATTTAGAACCATCCAAATTTGCAAAACAGCTGAAAGGTTAAATTTTAATCCAGAGTCATCCCATAGGGACATCTTTTGATGCCCACTACTTAACAAAATATCATTTTCATAATCATACATAACAACACAATAATGGTCTGGTGTTAATGTCAATGTTGGAATAAGTGTGTGATGAAACAGGTGCTTGTTTTCCGTTAATTGTTTGCAGTTCATGTTCGCTTCACTGAAGGAATGTGTTATAGCTTGACTTATTATCTGCCCAGCTTTATCACCAAAAATAGAATGTTTCTCAGTTACTTTACACAGATCATCGGATGTACTGTTTTGTGACAGGAAGTCTGTTGTATCTTCACTATGCATATCATGCTCAGGATCTTCATAAAACCAGACAGGTATATTAGGTGACCCTGGTGGTATCAGCACAATATCTGGATGTCCATACCAAAGACTTTCACTACCTGCAATAATAATGATAATTCATTTTGGTACATGCAGTTCTGTTTCTCAAAACATTGCTTAATGTAAATAGATTATCTCATAGCTAATCAAGACATAAATTTCCCTTGACAGCAATAAAGATTTTTTATACATTCTTTGTCATTTACAGAATGATAAATAAATCAGAAAGAAAGTAGCATTAGAATCAATGAATAAACTTAGAAGGTAATTGAAAAATGTTGAATGTAATAAAAACCCTTTTGATGTTTGAGATAATTAAATTTTAACTATCTCAGATACAAAAGTAGTCAAACCTTGCTATGTTGAACTCCGAGACGGAGATTACACTTCTAGATATCAGAAGATTTGAATAACAATTAGGTTAAAAAGAACAAAGAAAAATTCATTGAGACTGCCAAATTACTTTGGCATATCCCTAGTACTTGAGATATCAGTGTTCAACATCACAAAGTTCAACTGTATTGTGGAATCCACATTTGATAAGAGTATGTACATCTGTATGAATCGGTATTCACTTGAGCCAGTATCCTGTTTTTATTGCCCGTTTTTAGCTCACCTGAGCCAAAGGCTCAAGTGAGCTTTTCTGATCAAAATTTGTCCGTTGTCTGTCGTCGTTGTTGTAAACTTTTCACATTTTCATCTTCTTCTCAAGAACCACTGGGCCAATTTCAACCATACTTGCCACAAAGTATCCTTAGGTGAAGGGGATTCAGGTTTGTTCAAATGAAGGGCCATGCCCTCTTTCAAGGGGAGATAATTTAGGAATTAGTGAAAAAGTAATGGCGTCTTTTAAAAATCTTCTTCTCAAGAACCACTTGGCCAGGAAAGATGAAAATCATAGTGAAGTATCCTAAGGTGGTGTAGATTCAAGTTTGTTCAAATCATGACCCCCGGGGGTAGGGCGGGGCCACAATGGAGGATCAAAGTTTTACATAGAAATATATTGGAAAAACCTTTAAAAATCTTTTTCTCAAGAACAGCAAAGCCGTGATGAGTCATATTTATATGGAAGCATCCTCAGGTAGTGTAGATTCAAGTTTTTTCAAATCATGACTCCCGGGGGTAGGGCGGGGCCACAATGGAGGATCAAAATTTTACATAGAAATATATAGGAAAAATCTTTAAAAATCTTCTTCTCAATAACAACAAAGCCCAAATTGGTCATATTTATATGGAAGCATCCTCAGGTAGTGTAGATTCAAGTTTGTTCAAAATCTTTCTGAATCATGTGTGGGTGTAAAATATTCTTACCAAGACCAATCTGTCCATAATTTAAGAGAGTTCTGCATTCCAATGGTTTTAAACAAGGGCATTTAACAAGTCCTTCCTCCTTTGCTCCAGTGTTAAGGAGGTATCTGCTGTTAAACACAAGATGAGAAAGTAGGTGGTTTGTAAGCAATGCAGCCTTCACAGTCTCTGTCTGCATATTAAAAGCATCTCCATGTGGACACATTTGCCTTAAACAGTTTTCATGGTGAGCTACGATAAAAGAAAAGCAAAATCAATGCACAGGTAACTTTACAATGACTTTTTTGAAAAATATTAAATAAAATCCTGATTTGTATTGTTTGAATGGACTTATGTGTTTGAACTCTGTTCTTTATCTCCCTATTTAACATAGCAATTTGAATAAATTTCATTCAGAACCGTACTGAGGCTATGATCATCATGATAAAAAATTCATGATTTTTTGATCCCCCTAACCTATCAGTAAGTTAGATTTTGTTGCTGTTTTATATTGATGATTTCATAAATGTTAAAGCTTTGGCATAGTAGGGCCTATATTTATACTTTATTCAACAAAGACTAAAATAGTAATACGGAATAGTCATTAAAATAGTTTAAAATAATACAAAGTCAATAGAAAGGTAATAATTACTACTAACAGAGGCTAATCCCCTTAATTAAAGGAAGTGGCAAGAATTGCCTCGGAGCGAAACACTCAGCGCGAATGGTCTTTCGGAGTGAACCGTCCTGCATTCCTCTACCAAGAGCTACTCTGACCGCCAGTGATTGAACCTGTCTGACCGCCACACACAAAATATTTCATGCATATGAGATAACATATCTCAAAAGTGGGATATTTGTATTTCCTTGATCATGTTGATATACCACCATATTAATACCTGATTCTGTAAGGAGGTTTCTAAGTGCTGATAGCGCATAAAAGAAACTGTCATTTTCAGTTGTGGAACCGAAAAATCCAGTATCGGCATTCTCTACTGATCTGTGCAATGCATCAAATCCGTTTTTAAAAACATTAGAAAAGTTTTCATACAACACTATGTCATTTTTATCCAGTATTTCGTACTCAATATGCGATTTCGCGAATCTACATCCAACACTGCAACTGTTAACCTTCAAAGGTACCAGCTGTAAATCTTCTAAGTTACTCAGAGTAGATTTAATCAAAGAAGTCAACGGTTCAGAGTTAAAGGACGAAAATTCTCTGCTTAAAATACATTTTTTAACGGTACATAAGCCTGTCAAGCGAACATTTCGAAAACTTCGCTTCAAAACACCAACATAGGCCGCCATGTTGCTTTCGTGTTTGTCATCTCGTCCTCGAACTAATTCGCTTCTAGTAACGCTGTATAAAACTTGCCCCCTTATCGCCCCCCCCCCCCCCCCCCCCCAATCTTTGCATGGTCAAGAAAACTTTTTTCGTAAACGAAGTTCTTTGGTAGTTGGAGGGTTTACATTGGTCTTAGTAGGTAATTGTTCTAATTACAATTTTTAAAAAGTATATATAAGTACTACTCTTCAGACTTGTTAAAATTCATAAAGGGCATTAATCAATAAAAGAAATACTGAGACTCATCTAATCAAAAGAATACTTCCACCACAAATACATGAAAATAGGGGTTTGTCCTTTTTGTTTGTGATGTCTTTAAATGCATTAAGGGAAAGAAAAGTTCTTTCTTAAATTCCTAAAGACATTTACTCCAAGGTCAATGACATTTTTGGTTGCAATTTTTATGGCTGGATCATGATGGTATGTCAATAAACACTTACTCTAAGAGATATAACCCTTTTGTCACTTAAGTTGAAGGTCAAGGTTTGATTTAGTCCAGTTGAGATTTCCTGTCCCAAAAAACCGCAAATAGTCCTGATCATATGTTGTCATTAAAACTGAGTGACTGCTTTGTGATGACATGCTCATATGCCAGATATTTTAATCTTGGGTTTAAAAATAAAGTTCTAAGCTTGACAAACTTAATATTCAGAACACAATTATTTTGACTATAAAATGAAGGTCTGTGCATATTTGAGTCCCGCATATTACCTTACAAATATTGTACATATGTACACTGACGCACTATATATCATATATAAAATGATAAGCCAAGATAAAATGTTCTGGTCCATACAGCATTTCTACCCAGAGAGAACTAGTAATATTTGATTGATATGCATAAAACCTATGAGTACAAACCACCATGCCAAATAAATGTACTTTATCAGAAGCCAAATTAAAATCTAAAAAAAACATACAATGGTAGGACTCCATAAGAATGATAAAAATTAAGACAAAGGACAATTTTCAAATAAGGATAAGGTTTATTATTTCAAATATCAACCAAAAATCAACAACTGTAGCACACGGCTACACATTTTTAATAAGACATGTACATGTAGGAATATAGTGCATAATTTCAAAATTACAAACATTTTTCATTTGTCAGTTTAAATCAGTAATGATATTCATACAATTATACTTTTCTGCAAGCCAGGGCTGTGTAACATTGGACATGATGGTATAAACAAACAGCTGGATTTTTTCTCTCACATCTATTTGATTTGAAATATTACTCATAAGCATAAGAAAGACAAGTTCATTACCAATTTGATGAATGAAAATTTCAATTAATTTCCACATAATACAATGTAGTAAAAAAAAAAAAACAAAAACAACAACAAAACCTTTAAAAATAAATATTTCTGGAAATGTTTGCAAACAATTTTAATAATTTATAGATTGATTCTCAATTTAAGAATGAGATAACATTACATATTTTGTAAGAGATATATACAATGTATGCAATGTATGCATAAATAACAAAATTAAACATTTGATAAAAACAGAAATGCTCATGTCCTTAATGATTTTTCTTAACACATTCCAATTTCCAAATTGTCAATGCTTAAAGTCATAAAAATTTCTTCTTTAATATGATCACATATTTTACATCTACAGTGTAGTATTGTTCAAGATTAACTGTACATTTTACCAATTTGGGCTTGCGATAATTTTAGTAAATAAAACATTGTGGTAATGTCAGACCCATCTAAAAATAATCTGTACCCGTAATAAATGTTTTTATCTAATATCAATAAACAATTCAGTCATTAAAATACACCATAAAAACAATCATTAAGTACATATATGTAAATGAATCTCAACAAATATCAACAAAATATGAAACAATCATTTCCTTGTGTCATAGTAATTTTTTGATTACCAGGTATAGTTCCTGGTTATTTTCCATTTAAAAATCAAATATGTATGTATGTCTAATTCCAATTTGAAAGATTGAATAAGAGCTCTGTAATACATGTATTTGGAAATCAAATGCTTTGTAAATTTATGAAGTCCTTGGTGTCAGTTTGTAGCTCCAGGGTTTTCATCTTCTGGCAAAGATACTTCCCGGCTCTTGAACATCCATACATCCTAAAAGGTTAAGAAATCCTGGTCTAGTTACAATAAGAAAACTAAGCTTCATTATAAAGGCAAAAGAAACCCTTAAAAGTGGCACTTGGAAAATATATTAGAAGAAAAATTTATAACTAAATAATTAATGCTTTACAGTGTTATTCTTTCTGGAAGAAACAATTATGAGATAAAACACTTAAATACCTTTATGTCACAAGATTAAGCATTTTACCTTCAAGGTCACTTGGTTAGGGTCAACTCCTCCAGATTCCAAAACTTTAGCAAAAGTTTCGATAAGCTCCTTTTCTACCTTGTCTTGAATGGAGCCTTTGACATCAATAAAGTCAACATCAGCAGAGGCATAGTGGCACGAAATGGACTAAAATTGAATATATTACACTCTTATGTGAAGCAGTAAGTCATGAATTTACTTATGGGCCAGTCCACAGTACATGTACATGTAAAGTTTATCTGTATTATCTTAGAAGTGGTCCAAAGTATATCAAGTTTAACAAATTAAATCTGGATTTACTCTGCAGGTGAATGTTGGCAAACTCAAATTATGTAAACACTGGGTTAAGTTAACCCACAACATATTGTTCGTGAACATAATCCATTGTGATGTCATTATTTTAAGTAATTGTCAAGTGGTTGTCAACATACAGTAAGAACTGCAGTATGGATACGTCATGGATTAAATATAATATGTTAAGTTAATCTGGATTAGGTTTATGCTGATTCCCTAAACTCACTTCAACTCAGAGTTATTACTCAGAATAGTATCATTCATAACTTGATGCATGTTTTTCTGTTCTTTCCATTATAGACATATAATTGTTAAAAAAGCTGCACATATACCTTTCTAAAACCTTTTGTCTTGTTCATCCCTGATCCATGGATCAATAGAGGGTGGAAGAAGACAGTGTCTCCAGCTTCCATACAGAGATGTAGTCTTGGAGCTTTGGGATCAAAGTCTCGGACACCGTGGTACAGTTTGTTGACACCTCCCTGAAGAGCCATAAATTTTATGCACAGAAAATATTCACATGAGCTAAGTAATATGCAACTCATTCTCTCAATGCTTAATCCATGTTGGATACATATCTAGCTATCTACACTTAAATTCATTTAGCATATTTTTGGTACGTGTACGTAGCATACATATAATATATTACCTCCCATTCAGGGTAGTCATGCTGGAGTAGCTCCCCTTTGTGAGAGCCAGGTAACACAACCAAACATCCATTTTCCCGGTTCACTCTCTCCATGGCTGTCCAAGAGCAGACAACCCTGTCAGCAGGCCGAAAGGGGAAGAAATACAGGTCCTGGTGCAGAGGGTGTCTAGAACTCTTCTTGCCTGTAAAATAGTTCAAAATGACCTGGTAATCAAATTCATAAGCTTACTAAATGTACTTAAATATACTTAAACAAATATACACACCCAAATTCTACTGTAGATAAATTAAAACATGTTGTAAGTAAAGGAATAAGGGATAAAATTGATATCTTGTAAAAATTATACTGTTTATGTGGGGCTTTTTTTTGGCTTTTTTTGTTTTTTGTTGTTGATTCTTGTTTGTTTGTTTGTTTGCTTTTTGTGTTTTTGTTGTTTGTGGTTTTTTTTTTTTTTTTTTTTTTTTGCTTTATTTGTAATCTAAATCAAATATTTCATTGAAAGTAAAATGGTAAAGCTACCCTTGGAGTTGAAACACTTTTTATAGCTATAATTACAGAATTATGTATCCTTATGCAGTCTGTATTTTTTAAACTTGTTCAAACTTAAAGTTTTAATGAAATCAAACAAAAAACTGTAGGAGAAGTAGCATTTTGAAAGATTTTCAGGTACATGTACATGTACCTATACTTCTTTTTTTAAATAGCCATGGCAACATCATCAAAATCTTATTAATAAACACATTATGAGAATTATTCATTAGCATTAGTATAGTCTCTGACTGTGAATCAATTTTTTTTAAAAATTAGACCAGATTTTGAAAAATTCTTCACAGACAAATAGATGACAGAAACCTTACCATTGCAAAAGCTCTTGTGATCTTTTACCAGAAAAACCATCGAATTCAGTATATAGGTGCTGGTGCTATTTACTTATTTACCCCCCCCCCCCCCAAAAAAAAAGATTGATTGATTGTTTGTTGTTTAACATCCCTGTCGAGAATTTTTCACTCATATGGAGACGCCACCACTTGCCGGTGGAGGGCTACAAATTTTGAACTATTCTCGGCACTCAGGGCCATTGAGCAGTGAGGGATCTTTATCGTGCCAGCACCTAGTGCAACACAGGACCTCGGTTTATAGGTCTCATCTGAAGGAAAGGTCTCCACGTTCCACAGTGGGATTCAAACCAGTGACGTAAGGATCAACTCCTTACTCTGCGACTCTAGAGCAGACGCTCTAACCACTGCACCACATGGGCAACAAAAAAAAAAATGAGAAGTACAATACCCTTTCAAACAAAGAGGAAAGGATGAGCATGGATATGTATTTTCTTCATCCTGACCCTAACTACAGGGTCCTCTAGCCTTCTAACCGGGATCTGGATCAACATGTTAGTTTGTTGATCAGCATGTAGACTGACACTGATACTCATTAACATTACCTGGATCTGGTTTTTTGTTGATCAGCATGTAGACTGACATTGATACTCATTAACATTACCTGGATCTGGTGGTTTGTTGATCAGCATGTAGACTGACACTGATACTCAATAACATTACCTGGATCTGGTGGTTTGTTGATCAGCATGTAAACTGACATTACTACTGATTAACATTACCTGGATCTGGTGGTTTGTTGATCAGCATGTAGACCAACACTGATACATGCACTCATTAACATTACCTGGATCTGGTGGTTTGTTGATCAGCGTGTAGACTGATATTACCTGTAATACTTATTATTAACATTACCTGAATCTGGTGGTTTGTTGATCAGCATGTAGACTGATATTACCTGTAATACTTATTATTAACATTACCTGGATCAGGTGGTTTTTTGATTGACAATGATACTGATTAACATTACCTGGATCTGGTGGTTTGTTGATCAGCATGGTGTGCATCGACATGACCTTCCTTCCTGTAAATGCTTGGACATACTGAACTACCTGAAAATGAGTTTTAATTTTTAATGAATAAGTTTTAACCACCAATGATTAATACGTAGACTTACATGCATATTCTACAGGTATGTGTGTATATTTGTTATTAAGTAAACATTTATATTCATACCTCTGGTAGAGCACAGTAGCTAAATAAGACATCATCATTTTCAAAGTTCTGGATTTTGGTAATAGCCTTTTGTCCAGGAACAAACTCTGACCGGGCTATAGCCACATCTCTCATTATGGTCAACATAGGAACTGTAATTTCTTTTCGGCATATTTTCTCAAATTCGTCCCTAAAACATGTAAAAATAACTTTTGATAAAATGTAAGTTGTTGATCTCATAAATTTATAAAGCTTACTTGTTAACACATGAACTCCTTTAAATATGTACATATTTTATACAAAAATATCTATATGAAAATGATTTGACTATAGATTCTGTACGTGATACATTTGATACAACCTGAAACTTTGTATATAATTTATGAATTCATGTAGAACATTTCAGTGCACCACATTTCTGCATATTGATTATATCTTTCGGATTCCTCATAATATGTTATTCTTGATAACTATGTATCCATTGTCCTCAAAGAATTGTCTTTGTTCATTTGACAAGATTGAATTGTCTTGTGATTTTTGTTTACGATTCCACTAAAAACATTGTATTACGATTCTAAAAGTATGTTATCTGTGTAACTGGTACCCAGGTAAATTTTAAAAATGCATAAAAATAAATTAATTAAAATACTTATTAATAAAATAACACATTAAATCATGCATGATAAAATATTAAATCCTGATAAAATGGTACATGTATATGATACCTGTATAGATCAAGTTTCTCTTTAGACACCAAATTCTTGATAACTATGTATCCATTGTCTTCATAGAATTGTCTTTGTTCATTCGACAAGATTGAATTGTCTTGTGTGTAGCGGAATTTGGGTCTTACGTTAGACACTGAATCACTGGATAATGTTGGTGTATGCTAAATATATGATTAAGGATTATTAAGTTAACATATACCGGTACATATATTAGATTCTAATTAAAATATCAAAGATCAAATTAGTAATCTCATGTAGAAATGAAGTGTATACAAAAACACTTTCAAAAGTTTGTTTTTATTTGTTCAGAAACAGATAAAAACAAATAAACTAATATATTGATGCTTTGATATAGATGTATATAGTCAGAGGATGGTTTGATAATTGCTTTGAATTACTTCAGGATCCTTCAGCAATGGTAATCAACAGCTGATCAATGTAAAGGGTGATCGAAACTCAACATTACAAGCACTATATTTGGAATGTAATATGATTACAGTAAAACATGCTTATAGCGAACATACTTAATGAATTGACGGATACAGTGAAGTGATTTTCATTCCTTATGGCTTTGAAAATATATTGTGAACTTAATTAATTATTCAATGAATTACGTTTATAACCAAAGCAAAATCTTCTGCCTCTGGTACTTCATTATAAGCATGTTTTACTGTATCACCACTCTCGTCCATTGCAGGGACTTTGTGATCTGTGCAGCTCTTCAAACTTAGATATTTATACAAATTACATAGCTTTAGTAAAAATATCCCTTTTGCTTATTAGTTACAAGCAATGAGAAAAATATGATTTAATTCCATCATAGGTTATTAAATTAGGCACTTGGGTCTAAATGATTATAACAGGTCCAGCACAATCTTTTGATTAAGCTATATAGCTTGAAATAGCTATATAGCTTTATTAAGCTATTCAAAATAGCTTAATAAAGCTATTTTTATGCAGGTTTTTACAAAAATATTATTTGTACAAAATAGACAAAAAGTCGCAAGTATTTGACTATTCATATTTGTAATATGGGTTATCAAATCAACAACCCAAATCAAAGATAGTTCTAACATTGCAGCATTTGAATACTTTTAAGCAAAAGATGAATTTCCATTGTTTGGGTAACTGTACACTACCTTGTGTGCGTTGAAGCATACTTCTCATTGTACTGAATTATTACCAGTCAATTATCTTGTTGACCATAATTGGCCTCCTTTATAATTTCATTGAAGAAATAACTGTATCGATTGCGTTATATAGCCCCAAAACTTTTAGAACTTTGAGTACAAAGTCTGTTAAGGAGACGCAATTTGATGAGTGATTTTTACATGCATTATTTTCATGAGAGTTCGAGGTTGAATATCATCACTGCACCAAGGTGCGACTTTTTGTGCATACTTGGAAAATAACACATTTGAGAAAAAAGTGGGATAAGATAGCTAAATCAAGCTATTTTGAATAGCTTAATAAAGCTATATAGCTAAATCAAGCTATATAGCTTAATCAAGAGATTGTGTCGGACCTGTATAAATATGTATATTGTGCACTTATATAATAATGAATATGTAAAAAAAAAGTACAGTACTTTCTTTTACATATTCAATAGGTTTACATATTTATAAACCAAGACCCAAGTACCTGTGAGGGCTACAGTACTGCATGCAGCTGCAAAAAACATTTTTTGTTTACAGTGCACCAGAGGGACAAGCCCCTGTGAGTGCACACTGCACTGTGAACATCAGATGCAGAAAAAGGATACAAATATAGAGGAAGTAGAGTCCAAATGTCCAAATATTGTCTTCAGTCTCTCTGTCATCTTTCTACGTATATCCAATGCTCAAAATGCTCAAAAGAATGAGACTTTGAACCGTTACTAAACTTGGCCAAATGACAAATACACTTTTTCTGGTTTTTGATACACAGAAGATTTTAATAAAGGGAGATAATTCAGTACAACAAAACAGACCATTCCAATTTGTTTCTATGTTATGCTTGTGGGTCCTAGTTTTGGATACCTTAAACTGGGAAAACAAATAAACAATAATCAACAATTACACAATAGAGTAGCTATTCTGTTCTGTTCTAAAAGTAAAGAAAATGGCTCAAAAATATATACTGTATTTGAAATTTTTGAGCCGAGGATATTTCATTTATTTTTTAATGTATAAATATCAGCCAGTGTTCGACAAATGGTCTTTTGAGATATGTCCTTATTTATCATTTTTACTGAGTACTTTCTGTGAGTATGGGGAGTGTTTATCAGTGCTCTGCATGATTTTGCATGCGCTGATCCATTTTCCAAGGGGTGTGGGTGAGCTGGGTCTAAACCCTCCAAAGAAAAATGCGACCATATATATATATATATATATATATATATATATATATATATATATATATATATATATATATATATATATATATATATATATATATATATATATATATATATAGACAATTAAACAGAAAAAAAAATCATGAATTTGTCCAACCTGTGTGTTTGTTGGGGGGTGGAGGTGGGGTTGTAGGACAAGTTGCTTTCCTTAATTCCTCTATACTACACTCGGAGTCTCTATATCTTTTTATTTCACAACTTGGTGTCAATGTTTTCTAAGAAAGTGGGGGGCGTTTCAAGTTTCTTTTTAGTTAGTTTACTATATAAATGAAAATGAAGTCTGACAGATTTTTGGAAATAAATAATTTGTCCTCGAAAATGTTGAAAATAAATAATCTGTCCTTGACTAGTGCTATACTACCCCCCAACCCCCAACCCCAGCCCCCCAACACACACGCGAAATTAAGCGTTTTTGGAATTTGGTGTTTTCCCTATTTCTTCCTTTTTTTCTTTGCTTGTCAAACTTTTTTTTCAGTGTAGAAAAAAAAACTTCTCCTTGATCATCTTGAAAATAAATGATCTGTCTTTGACTTGCATGAAAATAAATAACCTGGCTCGAAATTTTTTTTATAAGTTCTCTTAAATAGTATCAGAGAGTGTAGCTGCAGAACTGTAGCTCTCCGGAAAAAAAAATAAAATTGACAGACCGGAGAGCTGCAGTGCCACTCATAGAAAAAACTGTATATTTATTGCGCACAAAAAATGCGCTGTTTCTCGATTTATTTCTCCTTATTTTTAAACTGCAATCTCAAAATATTACTGACCGTGTGTTCCTAACACATTTTTGCACTATTCCCACATCGAAACATGTCCTATAATCATTGTTAATAGCCCCTGCCATTTTGGGTGGCTAGATAATTTGGCAAACGCGCTTCGTAACTTTTAGATGTCAACTACAAGAGTAGTTGATAGAGGTCTAAGGAATTTGTTGAAATCGAGCTTTGGTGCAGTTGAGGTAAGAATTTGGAGAAATAAATCCAGAACCGAGCGCAACTTTTTGTGCGCAATAAATACACAGTTTTTTCTATGGGTGGCACTGTAGCTCTCCGGTCTGTCATTTTTTTTCGGAGAGCTACAGTTCTGCAGCTAGAATTTTCATAAAAGGTTAGTTTTAAGTTAAATTCATAATTTATAGTATCAGAGAGTGTGAATTTTTATAAAAGGTTAGTTATAAGTTAAATTCTGTCTACTGTAATACTTCGTGAATGTGTCATAGAAAACTATTTTATATTAAAAAAAAGTCAAGAACCCTTGGGGTACGGAATGCGGGGGGGTGGGGTGGGGGGTGAGTAGGTCCCCAAGAACCTGTGATGTAAATGTGCGACTGACAAAAATAAATGTACCTTCACAGATATGCGATGAGAATGATACGTTGATTTTGAATTTTAATATCTCATACCCCCCCCCCCCCCCCCCAAAAAAAAAAAATGCTACTTCAATGTTGAAACCGTTGCTACGGGCCTGCCTACTGTGTGACAAACAAGAAAGTGTAAAATTTTCTTTGATATTTCATTTTTACATATATTAAATGTATACTTTATGTAAAATCTCCACAACTGCAACAATCTTTACATGTGCAGTTCTTATTTCGTGTGTTTCTGTTTCATAGCTGTTTTGAAATGCCGGATTAGCCGAAACCAATGACATGAAACAGAATTTATTTAGAACGACCGATGGCTAGCGTATCGTTATCAAAAACATATAAAAATTAATACCTGTACAGTATATAGCATTAGTCCCCTCTCATAATGGATCAGGGAGACTTTGACTGATAAATCTAAATTGTAAAATATATTGTAGAATGTAAATGTAAAATTGTAAATATATAAGAAATTGTTATTTACATACTAAAATTGAATGTTCTGATGATTTTTGGCAGACAGATATAGGGTAGCTAGCCTGTTAGAAAAAAATACATGAACATGTATTCACACCCCCCTTGCCTTTTCTTTACTGTTTATGAAAAAAGCTTCTTTTATATTAATTTCAGTGGTGTTACTTGTGTTAGGGCTATGAATAATAAATATTTCAGTCAAGTGGGGGAAAAACAGAACTCCAATTGAATTTCCCACCTTTCCCTGACGGTTGTATGCCTATTCAGCTTTTTTTATGCCCCCGTCTCGAAGATTCGGGGGTATATAGTTTTTGCCCTGTCCGTCCGTCTGTCTGTCTGTCCTCAAAAACTTTAACCTTGCCCATAACTTTTGATTGGTTGGAGCTATGGCTTTCATATTTCACATGTGTATTCCTTGTGACAAAACCTTTCTCTGGGCACCACCATATTTGACCTTTTGACCTTGACCTTGGAGTTTGACCCAGTTGTGCAAAATTTTACCAAACTTTAACCTTGGCCATAACTTTTGAACAATTGGTGCTAGGGCTTTCATATTTCACATGTGTAATCCTTGTGACAAGACCTTCCTTTGGATACCAACCACTTTGACCCTTTGACCTTGGAGACTGATCTCCTTTTGGAAAACTTTAACCTTGGCCATAACTTTTGAACGGTTGGTGCTAGGGCTTTCATACTTCACATATGTAATCCTTGTGACAGGACCTTTTTTGGATACCAACAATTTTGACCCTTTGACCTTGGAGTTTGACCTACCTTTGGAAAACTTTAACCTTGGTCATAACTTTTGAACGATTGGTGCCTCTGCTTTCATATTTCACCCGTGTATTTCTTGGGAGAAGGCCTTTCCTTGGGCACCATTAATTTTGACCATTTGACCTTGATGTTTGACTTACTTTTGAAAAACTTTAACCTTTTCCATATTTTTCAATGGTTACTGCTAGGACTTTCATAATTCACAGGTATATTCCCCAGGACAAGACCTTACTTTGGGTACCAACGTATTTGATTTGCATTTGAGAAAGTTTGACCTTTGCTACATGTATAAGTTGCCATATGGGGGCATCAGTGTTTCACAAACACATCTTGTTTTTGTTTTTGTTTTGAATTATTTTATTTTATTAATAAATCAAAATTACATGATGGATATCTTCCAGCATGTGTTTTCTTTTCCATATATAGATGTATTTATTTAATTCCTTCAGCTTTTCCTCAGCCATTTAATGCTTGCTTTAAGAACAGATGATACAAACTGTTTTCAAAAATCATGAAATTTACAACTTAGTCTATGACAATATTGCATAAATAAAATGAATGAGTTCAGCCGCATCAACTGTCATTTTTCATATTAACTTTCTCAATATATCCCAAATGTATACAGACTGAAAATGGTGATGGCAAAAAGGGAGAAATTTGACCATCAAAGAAAGATTAAAGTTTCTTAATATTTTAAGAAATTTGATAAAATCATCATTTAGAACCAAATTAAGTCCAAAAATTATTTTCCAATCCATCGTCGCAAACCACGGCCAATATGTACAGTCCTCTCCAATTCTGGAGAGCGCTGTCAGTGGACTCCGGACCGTGACTCGAGACGATGATTATGATTCCAATCCATGCACCCATTTTTTGTTTGTTTGTATCACGTGTTCTTAAAAGCAAGCAAAGTGCAATAGATGTTTTTTTTAATTGACTGAAATGTTTAAAATATACAAGGACGTCTGTATTCTTACAAATTCATCATTCATTGTTCCTCTCTTCAATCATATCAAATTTTACCATAACGCTAATAATTTTCAAAAAGAAACCTTATTTTTTATCAAAAAGCACAATTTCAGCATATTTTGCAGGACAAATTTTGACAAAAATTGACATTATAAGCGACCAGTTTTATAAAAAAAAAAAAAATTATTCATGCCACTGAGATTTCTCTCTCTTAATTAAGGGAAGTCAAAATCAAGTGAGCTTTTGCCCTTTTACTCTGCGAGATTTTCACCCTCACTGATCTAGAAAACAAAATTAAAATGGAAACAACTTTTATTAACAATATCAGCCATAGAAAATCAACAACGGTACAATGTGAAAAAATTAAACCAATAAACATGATAAATGACCAGCTCAGTTACACCTTACATGTATATTTTTACCTGAGTTAATACTATCCAAATCAATACTGACATCATAAATCAATAATCAATTCATATATTGATTAATTTACATTGAATTATTTTGATGATCGACTATCATAAAAACAAAATTTACATCTCATCAATGTGTTCTACTACATGTATACCAGAAAGGTTTATTAAATAGTAGAATACATCTGTAAACATAAGAATCACATATAAAATATACACAGTATTCAATTTCTCCATATTCACATAAAATGTTTGATGACATAAATAATATTACCGAAATTGTAAAATTTAACCCATTTAAAAATAAAAAAAATAAAATGAAGTTCATAATCACAAAAATATATATTTCAAATCAATGCTGTTAAGTGGTAAAATTGACTTTCATATTATCATATGTGAAATACTTATTTTGGCACAGAGTTAAATCATCATGCCTAGCTTATCTATGATCAATAAAACTGTGATAGGGACAATTACATATATGTGCACTGATGTTAAAATTCATTATGGCAAATTATCCTTGACCTACATTTGTTAAAGTTTAAATTGATAAAGTAAGAAAACATTAAAGTCAACAACAACTGTGAATTATCACAAAACGTTCTGATTATCATCAAGGCAATTACATCAGAGACATGCACATATTAGTTGATGAATAACAAAAATATGAATTGAATCACTATCATTTTCCAGATTAACTTATTTTATATTTTACTTTTGATTTCTTTTCTGTTTAGTGCTTACTTTAATGAGAGCACTACCTGCATGATGAGGATGTCTTTAAATCTTCTTTATATTCAATGAATTATCAAATAAATCCTCCAGAATTAATTGTCCTCTGGTAAAGACACATCTCTGGCCTTGTACATCCATAGGTCCTAAAATAAGGGGAAAATATACAGATTTGGCTTGCTGTTAATTTAAATTATAAAATGTGTTCTTATATACAATACATAAAATAACATAGACCTGTTTAAGCACTAAATCCATAGCATCTAGTCAAGTGAGCATCAAGGTAAATTGCCTTGTAGATACATGATAACAATTTACCTTTATGCTCACTTGATTAGGGTCACTGCCTTGTAGATACATGTAACAATTTACCTTCATGCTCACTTGACTAGGGTCAATACCACGTGCAATCAATTTTTTGGAATAAGTTTCAATGACTTCTTTCTCCAAATCGCCTTGAATGGAGCCTTTGACATCAATGAACTCAATTTCTCCAGAGGCATAATGGCATGAAATGGACTAAAATAAAGACAAAATTCTATTAATATTTGTAGCAGTTATTTAATATTCATCTATAGATAGATGTTCTTAGGATAAATTGTACTTCTGGATTTTGCTGACTAGCCATAAGCTTAACTTCTTGTTCTTAGAAAATGTATACTGTGACATTTCCCCACCTCTTCCTATGTTGACACATGATCTATAGTAAATAATACTGTGGAATCAAAATAATTTGTTTGGGCCATTTTTCATAACTTATGTAACTAGTGCTAATTGTAACAAGAACCATTACAGATGTTCCCAATATGGCTCCCCCACTTCCTTGTGGATCCAAGTTCCCTACTACAAGCTTCATTAAATTCAGCAATACTTTTGTATTATCAATTTACATTTTATTTTCCAAAGTATTTTATAGGAAAACTACTCCAATATAGCCAAGTATTAGCAAATCAAATTTCAGTGCATGTGCTTGTACATGTTATTTGGATTTTTTCTCATTTACTTTATTTATTTATTTAATTTATCTCACAATATATACCTATCTGTTAAATATCAAAGAATATAAAATCAATGAAAAATAAGAGAGATAATACCATTTAAGTATTAGCCAATCAGAATTTAGTACACATACGTGCGTGTCTTTGCATTTGATTTTGCTGATGATTATATGTATAGTTCAATAGAACTATCATTAATAATTTCCTACATTTCAAGTATCTATGTAATATACTACATGATTGTATAAGAATTTTAACCATCCTTTTTTTTCAATTTTTATTCAAAAAAAAGAAGAGTGCAATCACTAGACACACCTTCCTAAAACCTTTTGTCTTGTTCATCCCTGATCCATGGATCAACAGAGGGTGGAAGAAGACAGTGTCCCCTGCCTCCATTGGAAGATGGACTCTTGGAGCATTGGGATCAAAATCTCGAACTCCATGGTACATCCTGTTCACACCTCCCTGAAAATCAGAAAAAAAAAATTATTTTCCATTAACAAAGTGACAAAGCTGTTGAATGATCTCAAGAAATATTTTTTTCTGATCTTTAAGGAAAAAAATATAGAGTGAAATATTGTCATGAAAAAAAATTAAAAAGCTCACAAAACTTAATTGTAGCTGCTGATCATGGCTGAATGACTTATAAATAGGTATTTTGTTATCTTAAATGGCCTGATGCATCCTCTGTGGCACAGAGGGGATAAGGAAGTAAGTTATTATCTTGTATTTATCTCCACTTTACTCATAGACAAGATTTACCTCCCATTCAGGGTAGTCATGCTGGAGTAGCTCCCCTTTGTGTGTACCAGGTAACACAACCAGACATCCATTTTCCCGGTTCACTTTCTCCATGGCTGTCCAAGAGCAGACAACCCTGTCAGCAGGCCGAAAGGGAAAGTAATGAAGGTCTTGGTGCAGAGGGTGTCTTGAACTCTTCTTGCCTAAAAAAATTGGGTAAGTGAAACATATTTCATCATGATGAAAATCAACATGCTCATTTTTATCATCTGCATTTACCTGCAGAGTTGCATCTTTGTATTTGATCAAGATTAGCTTTAAGTATCATAAATGTTGGCATGTATATAAACTGACAGTATTGATACTCATTAACATTACCTGGATCTGGTGGTTTGTTGATCAGCATGTAGACAGACATTATTGATACTGATTAACATTACCTGGATCTGGTGGTTTGTTGATCAACATGTTAGACTGACACTGATACTCATTAACATTACCTGGATCTGGTGGTTTGTTGATCAACATGTAGACTGACATTAATACTCATTAACATTACCTGGATCTGGTGGTTTGTTGATCAGCATGTAGACTGACATTAATACTCATTAACATTACCTGGTTCTGGTGGTTTGTTGATCAGCATGTACCGGTAGACTGGCATTGATACTGATTAACATTACCTGGATCTGGTGGTTTGTTGATCAGCATGTAGACTGACATTGATACTCATTAACATTACCTGGATCTGGTGGTTTGTTGATCAGCATGTTAGACTGACACTGATACTCATTAACATTACCTGGATCTGGTGGTTTGTTGATCAACATGTAGACTGACATTATTGATACTGATTAATATTACCTGGATCTGGTGGTTTGTTGATCAGCATGAAGACTGACATTGATACTCATTAACATTACCTGGATCTGGTGGTTTGTTGATCAGCATGTTAGACTGACACTGATACTCATTAACATTACCTGGATCTGGTGGTTTGTTGATCAGCATGTTAGACTGACACTGATACTCATTAACATTACCTGGATCTGGTGGTTTGTTGATCAACATGTAGACTGACATTATTGATACTGATTAACATTACCTGGATCTGGTGGTTTGTTGATCAGCATGTAGACTGACATTGATACTGATTAACATTACCTGGATCTGGTGGTTTGTTGATCAACATGGTGTGCATGGCCTTGACAGTCCTTCCTGTAAATGCCTGGACATATTTGATCACCTAAAACAAGAATTTCAACACTTGCAAAAATCTGAAATTACATACAGTTTTAAAAGTGAATTGATTTAACCCCCCCCCACCCCCCCCCCCCCCCTCCAATTACTTTTACATGGTGTGACTGACTTTTACAGCATACTTGTATATATTAAACATATAATGAAATATACCTCTGGTAGAGCACAATAGCTAAATAAAACATCATCATTTTCAAAGCTCTGGATTTTGGTAATAGCCTGTTGTCCAGGAACAAACTCTGACCGGGCTATGGCCACATCTCTCATAATGATTAGCGCAGGCACTTCAACCTCTTTTTTGCATATCTTTTCAAATCGGTCCCTTGACAAAAAACATTAAAGTTAAAACATATAAATATCATAAAATAAAATTATAAATTAATGGCTATACTAAAATTAAATAAAAAAAAAAAACACCATGATCAGAAAAAATTACAAAAGGTAATTAAGTTTCAATCAACGTGTGTCTGAAATTTTACAAAATGCATGGAAAGGGGTGGAGGGGGTGTGTGTGTTAAAACATTTGTCATTAAATGAAGTAAAATGTAATTCTAGTTGCTGAAAATGTTATATTTTTTAAAAATATGAATGGGAACCTTATCTAAAGTACAATGTATATCTTCTAAAGAAAATACTGTGTGTGCATGATGTATGTAGTACATTAGCTGCAATAATGTAGCCCTCTCCTTTTTTTTTTGGGAGAGGCTCCAGAAAATATCAGATAAAAAAAAATCGGAGAGGGCTACATTATTGCAGCTAGTAGTACATGTTTCCTTTTTTCACAAAAGCAATTTATGATAGTTTATTTAGAATTTAATGTTATTTTTTTTTCTAAGTAAGAAAGACAAATGAATAAAAAATTCAACATAGAAATTTCAGTGCTTTTATTACATTTAAGAAATTTTTTAGGTATTTAACTTGACAACCTTATAGATGGTTAGCATATTAGTTAACACCTCCACAATGGGTAGATCTCACAAAAAAAAAAAACAAAAAAAAACCAGGCTGCTGAAAATCACTGTAAAGAGGAAAAGATTAATCAAAATACATGATGGAGTAATGAAATACCTGTATTTATCAAGTTCTTCTTTTGGGACTAAATTCCTGATAACTAGATATCCATTGTCTTCATAGAACTTCCTTTGCTCATATGACAAAATTGAATTGTCTAAAGTGTAGCGAAATTTTCCACTAACATCAGACACAACCCCACCAGTTGACAGTGTTGGTACACACTTAGCATTTAATTAAGGGATAAAATGTAACATTACAAATCAAATCTTTTCCGACATAAAAATACATGCTTAATATTTGCTTAAAAGAGAGTGGTAATGACAATATTTCAACCTAATTTATACATGTTATAGATAATGTACTTTTTTTAAAATATTGGTTTGCAATAAAATCTCTTTATACAGGTCCCGTCCAAAGACTATTTCTACCTACATAGCTACTTATAGTCACCTAGGTATTTAAACCTACTCCAGGTAGCTATTTTTACCTACTTTTTGCTTTATTTGCATTTTGTGGCCAAACGCACGAATGGCGCAATATGGTAAGCACCAAAATTCTTAATACAGTCACACTGATGATGAATACGACAAAAAATTTGGAAAAAAATTATTACTTTCTAACTTATCAAGTTTGCATAAAAACAACATCTGATCAAGTTTCATTTTCTGGTAGCTAAGGATCAAAACTTAAGGGGATGAAGGACACATGGTCACATGACTTTGTTAAACTACGTCATAGTCTCCATTTATGTAAGTGCAAAACGTGTAAAGCATCAGTTCTTGTATAAATTTTTGACAATTTTTTTTCTTTAATTACCATCTAATATTAAAAAAATAAAAAGTTAAACATTCTTGTAAACATTAACAAATTATGAAAAAAGATTGATCCACTCCTCTGTTTCTTTAAACTGCGCGTCCAACAAATCGGTGACGTCATACACGATCTGCTAGTACAGCAAGATCATACTCGGTGAATACAAGGGCGGTATTATTATGTAAAAACAGGTCATAATCAGTATATGATGAAGTATTTTGAGAAACGGGGAGCAGAAAAATTATTTTTGCATGGCTAATGACGGAAATCTTATGTAGGTGTATCTTATTTCGCTTATTTAGCTTACGTGTGACGTCATAGTTGGTTTTTCCCGTACTCAAGAAATGTAAACATGACAAGTTTTTGTCCTACTTATGTCGTCTTTAATGATGTCCTGTGAAATATTGAGGTCAGCTTCACCATTCGAAATTTTTACAGTTAATCAATAATTTGAAGGACTTGTATTTCAACGTAAATTTAAAAATATTGAATGATAGGATTTTTTGTAAATTACGTTTTTTGTTGTTTTAGTTATCTTAAAAAGTTCGTAATTTTCCCTATCCAGATGCAGTGTGATAGATGAAACTTGCCTTTTCGAATTTTAAACCCAATTCATACTCTGAAATATTTTAAAAGATAAATGTTCATTTACATATTTTTTATATATGCTTTAAATATCCAATTATGGACAGAGTAATGAGCCCGGAAACATGGAGAATTAAAACTCCACTTAGATACTCTAGGGCATAATATTTGTCAATCAATATCTCTAAAATAAGGTAAGAAACCTAATGATATAACTGCTTTAAGATATGTGAGACATACTTAATAAGAAATATACGAAATATAAAAAAAATTGAATGACAAGTATTTTTTCAGCTAAAGGTCCTTCTTCCCCTTAAGTGTATAATTACAAACCTGTATCAATTTTTAAGACAATCTTCAAGCAATCTTAGACAAAAAATGTTTTTGGGATGATTTTTATTGCCTTTCCTCTCCATTCTCCACCCTCAAAAATGTTTACAAATTAACACACTGAATTTTTACGTGCAAGTGCATAAGATGATAAACAATAAGTTTAACCTGTTTTAAATTATCATTTAATTTTATTTTCAAAGACAGGTAAAAGTAATTAGAAGTAGCTACCTCAAGTAGGTTTAAATACCTAGGTAGCTTTTAATAGCGCGCTACATAGGTGTGGTAGTGTCAGATGCTTAAAAGAGAGTAGTAGTGAAATTTTCCACTAACATCAGACACAACCCCACCAGTTGACAGTGTTGGTACACACTTAATGTTATACCTGTCTATTTTCTCTTTTTCCTTTTCAAGCTACATGTACATACAGAACTTAGCTACCACTGTACAGTAATGACATTAATTTTTCTTCTGTTCTTCCTATACAGTAAATCCTTAAATATTTTATGACATACATGAAGAGAATTATCAATCCATTTTTGTTTACACGATTAATTCCATCAGGCCAGGTCCGTCAGATACCATCTGTTTTAATGACAAATTAATAAGACATTAAAAAAGGATACAGATATCGAGCCAGTGGGATCCAAGTGTCCAAAAACTGTTTTCAGTCTCTCTGCCATTATTCTACGTGCATTTAGACACTGCTCAATCACAAAAAGGACGAGATACAGATAAAAAAAACTATCGTCCTATCATATCATATGGACTTTGACACCAAATTCAAAGTAAACAAACACACTTTCTGGTTTTCAAACACAGAAGAATTCTGTAAAGGAAGATAATTTTAAAATTGTCTAGCAAGAGTTACCTCCCAACTACTAGTATAAAACATGTTAAAGGGATTTTAGAGGGGCAACCAACCTCTCCTCCCCTTTTGCAGTGTTTTGTGACCCAAATTTTTAAATTTGTAAAGATTTTTGCACAAGAACATGGTTACTTTTAAACCTTTGGATTTGCAAATGAATAGGGTTACTACGCTTTGTATGAATCAGTGGCGGATCCAGAAGTTCTTGTGGGAGTTTTGAGGCCCGAAGGGCCGAAGGGGGAGGGCATGGGAGGGGGTGTGCCTCCCCCGAGAAATTTTCATAAGAAATGGCTCCAAATGGTGCATTTTCCAGCATTTTATATTGAATGAATCAGTTTTTTACCACTTATTTTTCAAGACCGACCTACCCAAATTTTCAAGAATTTGAACAAAAAAATAAAATTTTAGGATTTATTTTCAACTTCCATCAGCAGCTGATCAGTTTCCATGTAAACATGAAAAATGAGACTTTTCTAAAAAAATAAATAAATAAATAAATCAATCAATCAATCAATCAATCAATTTAAAATCTGATAAAATTAGAAATATCGCCATTTGATATATAATATCCAATTCTTTATTTTAAAATGCACGTCCAATGTGTCGCATGTGAAGCTCTGACTAATGTGCAATTTCCCAACACTTAGAAAATTCAGATTCTGTGTAGAAACCCTAATTACTCTTTTCTACTACTTGACTATACTATACTGGGGGGGGGGGGGGTAATTATAATTTCTAACATAAATGCACCCTTTAATTCTTTTTTTTTTTACCCACTTACTAGCCCAATGGCCAATGTTTGAAAAAAAAAGTCTTGAAAGTCTCGAAGGGTCTACTTTCCCAGTATATTTATGTCATGAAAATATTGTAACATTCAACAGGTCAATTATCGAAGAAAGAAATTACTTAAGCAATACCAAAACAATTCCGTAATAACTATGTGCAGTTTTGGTTGTTAGTGTATATGTACATGGTGTATGACCTTCTGTCATCACTAGATGCACGGACTATCATGATCTCTGTACTGTTGATTACTTGTGTATTGTGTGCGCTCAAGCGGAAAGGGATTTCTCATGGTGGCTGTATATTTCACCTCTTTGTGTAAAACAATGGGCTTGGATAGAGTCTCACATATGTCTAAAATGACACTTCTAAAAATATTTTTTTGATTGGGCGGGTGGGGGGGTTTCCCGAACCCCCCTGAATACGCCACTGTGAATCAAAAGAAGAGTTCTCAAAATATACATTGGATATATTTAACATGTTTAATTTTTCAATCCAGAAATTTCTTCACAAGGAAAAAAACCCTTAAGTCTATTCCCAAACGTAAAAAATACCTATTTCGTGGTGATGGAGGTGGGATCCACGTTTTCTAGGGGGGTCCAATGTCATTTTTTATTTGCTTCAGTATATACTTAAATGACTCTAGATCCGCCTCTGACAGGAAATGTATCCTTAAGCTTAGCATTCAGAAATTTTTTGATCCACCACTGCATACGAGACTTGACGACTTTTTCCATATAGTTATATATCGTTCAACACTAGGTTATCTGCATACAGAAGATAAAGTGCTGGACAATATAACTCAGATATTCAAGCACAGCGTCAGAAAATGGGACACCTGCACACTATTTTTTATTGACAATGTATAGAAAAAAGTTGGAAACGGTGTATATGTATCAGCTGTGTATGTACTTAATGTAAACAGTACAAGAATTTTCCAATTTTCCAATTATCACAACGCCTTGACTGACCGTCTTAAGACAGTGTTTGGCCATCTTCAGCCAGAAACCCATATCCACGTATCCTTTTTAGTCCCCTACCGGTGAAACCGGAGGGGACTATAGGTTTCCTCTGAGTCTGTCCGTCCGTCCGTCCGTCTGTCTGTCCGTCTGTCTGTCTGTCTGTCCGTCTGTCTGTCTGTCTGTCCCTCTGTCTGTCTGTCCCACTTGGTTTTCCGCACTTTTTTCCTAAACGCTTGCAGATATTGAGCTGATTTTTGGTATGTGAGTGTATCTTGATGAGTTACAGATCAAGTTTGCATTTCGTTCCGCTTCATTGAATTTTGACGGAATTACGGCCTTTTCAATTTTTAGGGGTTTTCCGCAATTTTCTTCTTAACGCTTTCAGATATTGAGCTGATTTTTGGTATGTGACTTAACTTTGATTAGTTATAGATCAAGTTTGCATTTCGTAAGATTTTTGATTTTTGACGGAATTATGGCATTTTCAATTCTTAACGGGAACCAGATTACACTTGCCGGTAGGGGACTAGTATTGCTAATGCAATACTCTCAGAATGCTTGTTGATAAAATAAACATTGGAACAATTCAATTTCTATCCAGGGGAGTTGATAAATGTTTACTGGAAAATTTCAGTTAATATGTAGGATTACAAAAGACAAAACCAGCAACTTTAACATTTTTTAAAATTTAAACTTTGCAGCATTCCTTCGGAAGACAGGTACATGTATATACATGTATATATTTTACAGGAGAAACTAGAATTTATCCATTGTATTCCCAGGGGCTCCAGGTTGCTAGTAGTAATCAATATTTATAGAAAAATTAATATCCTAATTTACTACATGTTTATAGTTAGTTATATTTCCACATATTACTATTTTCAAAAAAGAAGGATAAGTCATAAATAATTGGCTTTTGTCGAATTTCTTCACTCATAATCTTTTTAAATGTTATTCATTAATTCCAGTATAACAACACATGTGCATGCAACTGCATTGCATATTTTATTAAAGCAATATTTGAGATGTATATGTTTGAAAAAAATCCGTAAAATGTTTTTTTTTTGTTATAATTATGCATGTAACAAACCTGTATGGTTAAGAAGACTAAAACTATGCCTTAATTTTATCAGAAGAAAGGTTTCTGTACTGAGGAATGTTTCAGAAAATTATATATATATATATATATAAGGAAGACATATGCAATTTTGCTTCGATTAGATCACGCAAATATTTTTTCTAATTCTAATATGAAAAATAAGGAAGTCATAAACCTTTTTTTTTTTCTGGCACCAAAAGAGTAAATTTAATTTTTTGCAACAAAATTTTCCCACACGAAAATTGCAGCTTACATTGCTTTAATCTCTCTGTGTATAGATGAGACTGTGTAATATACACTGTAAAAGGGTAAATTAAACAATAACAATTTGGTGAACTAAAGATTTACAAACACAAGAGCATGCTCTATAGCTACGTATGCACAATTTCTAAAACGAGGTAATTATTGACAAACAAGTTGATGAAACAAGAATATCAGCAGTCTCGTTTAAAGCCATCATTTCGTAAGTTCTATGGTCGATACGATGACCTTGTCAGCAAATACAATTTATCATTGAGTCAAATGCTGACTGACGTTTTTCGAACTAATTGTTAGGCAATTATTTACTCTCTGAATTGTCGACGGATTTTTCCGTTATTTCCCGATCATGACAAGGAGCACACGGCGGGTGTGACCGGTCGGCAGGGGATGCTCACTCCTCCATGGTACCTGATCCCACCTCTGATGTTTTGGAGGTCCGTGTTTGCTCAGCACCTATTTTGTAATGTTTAGTGGGCTTTTGAGCTTGAATATTGTTCGTTATCTCCATATATTTCATTCATCTATGGAGCTGTCTTAAAACTGCATAAAGGACGTAATTATCATGATTATGTATATTGAAAAAAAAACCTTTTTTTTATTCATTTAACATCTGAAATAAATGCCTTATGAAATATTAACATAACTTTTTTTTTTAGACATTTGTTTGCTATTTCTGTTTAGAAAATATTTTTAGACAAGCAGAATATCTTCGTTAACGCAGTGTTTTAGACACAGAGAACATCTGCATCCACAGTAGTTCTTACAGATTCACCCAGATTTCGCTACACCAGACCCGGGACTTTTCTTACGGAGTCTCAAAGACAGTTGTATGAAGACAATGGTTTTCTTGTCATCAAAAGTCTTGTGCCCCACCACAAGCTTGATATGTACAGGTACTACATGTTCTTCATCACTCTTATAAATCAGTTCAGTGGGACCTCATGCTGAAAATTTTGCTGACAAACTCCCCCATCTCTCAAAACTTGTCCATACAATGTACAAGGACACAAAGAAACATTTTTTTTAATTAAGGAAAGAGGTATTAAATGTATGAAAATTGCAATTAAGTAAAATTCATAAATCTATTTCACTTAAGAAACGCACATCTTAACACAAGTGTCAGTCTACATATGATCCGGAAAATTCATTTTTCCACAGAGATCGTTTTGAGAAAATCTGCCGTAAGGAGATAACGGTACGAGGACTATCCATTATGAGGGACATCGCCATCTCAAACTCAGAATTCGTAGCTGGAGAGAAGGCCATCACAAAAATACAAGACTTCCATAATGACAAAGTTCTGTTTGACTATTGTGCCATTCCTGAGGTTTGTTGCTAGCGCTTTGTGTTATTTTTTTCATTGTATATAAATTTGTAAAATAAAAATCCTAAACATTCTATTGTACAGAAGTACTTAAGCATTTATAAATGCTTTAATTATCAAATAAATTAACAAAACATGCATGTCCTGTTCATCAAATAAATGAGGAAACCCAACTTGATATATTTTTTCTGGACTTGAAATAAAAGGGATAATTTTGACTCTAAGTTGCATTTTTTAAAGTCTATTCCTAGATAGCCTTAAAAATGCAATGCAGTAACTCCATGTTTTATAAAGTATGTGAGTCTATTTCTAAGATTTATTCACTTTCCATTTTTCAGGTAGTGGATTATGTGAAAGCAATTATTGGAGATAAAGTCAATGCGATCCACACGATGCTTATTAACAAACCACCAGATCCGGGTAATTATTGATTAAATTACATGTGTAATTCAAATTACTTTTAAAGTTATTAATCGAGCTAAAATCGTCTAGAAATACTAGAATACATGGTATTGTTTCAGGATTTATTTGTCATTAAGTATCATTCTAAAAGGAAGAAAACAAAACTCAACACACATTGTCATACAAATCCATGATTATAATTTTCACATTTTTGCAGATAGAAAGATTTTAATTGCTTTCATTCTTGTACGTAGGCAGGAAAACCTCCCGTCATCCTCTGCATCAGGATCTCCACTACTTTCCCTTCAGACCAGCAGACAAAATCTGTTGTTCATGGACCGCTATGGAAACTGTGAATCGTGAAAATGGTTGTCTTGTTGTACTTCCGGGATCACACAAAGGCGGGAAACTTCTGCAGCATGAATATCCTCAGTGGGAGGTATGCTTAACAGATTATCACAATAATGGTTTTTATTAAAAAAAAAAAATGACACAAATTGCTAGAGTAAGCTAATCATTTGTCAAGGGAGGTGTGAATATTTTGTATCACGGCGTGCGAGATTTCGATCCCACCCACCCTCGTACTCATCTTATTATGGAGCCCGGGGACACCGTCTTCTTCCACCCGCTTCTGATTCACGGATCTGGAATGAACAGAACAAAAGGATTCAGAAAAGTAAATTCATAGAAAACAGACTCAAACATATGTATTTCAATTCACCTCTTTTTTTCATTTTTCTTCTCTGACTTTCATTTTTATCAAAGAATTACTAGTAATCTAATGTAGTTCTTTAAAAAATTCAAAAAAGAACAACATTGTAAATTGTACTCTAAGTTTTAAAATAATTTCAAATCCGTTTTTATGCTTTATATTAAATTTTTAATTAATGTTGTTTAATTTTGTCATGCATATACCAGTCCATATCTTGTCACTATGCGTCGGCAGATTGTGAATACATTGATGTAAAGGGATCAGAGCAAGAGATGATGGCAGATGAAATTGTTGACATGGTGCTGAAAAAACACAAGATAACTGATTGATCCAAAATTACCTTTGAGGTACAACTGCTATGTATTTGCTTTAGATAATTGAATCCTATAAACCAAATAAATTCAAGAATATCTCACAAATGGTGTAAGAAACTTGATCCATATGTCCTTGGCTAAAGTAAAATGAAAATGAAAACTTCATTATGCGTGTTTGGAGTCGTGAAATATTGTTCTCTACATTAGTGTAAAAAGTGCTATAAGAATGAAGTAACCTGTGGTATTTCTAAATTGCAGATATTCAGAATCACAACAAATTTATAAAAAAAAAAAAAATCTGTCAATTCTGTGAGCTGAATGCAATTTAATAATCAGGCAATGACATGTAAACAATGACGTTGTTGATTTATCTGTTTGAAATAAGGCTTTTTAACTTTACAAGACAAACTACGTACATAAGAACAGTATAGCACACTGTCTTATAGCAATTATCTCCGTATACAAATCTAACATTTTAGAAGTTATTTCTAATGGACTAATGGACAGGTTTAAAAAACGAAATGTTACTCTTTCAGAATATTTTTCTTTACGAAAAAGAAAATAATTATAAATACTTAGTCAAGTAGAAGAACTTGAATAATGCCAAATGCCATTTTCAAAAGTTATATAAATATGTATTTTTTTTTTTTTACTATAAGGACATCTGGCGCTTTAAGTTGAAGCCTGTGAAAGGAACTACGGACTAATTCTCATCAAAAGGCACAGTTATATGTAGTTAGAAAATCCCTGCAATCATTGGACTCCTCATGATGATGATAAACATTTGATGTGGATGAGATTATTAAATACTTACGTTGATTATGAAATATTTTGATTACATGTACAGTTTTTTGTATTTGTGATGAAACATTATTGTACAGTGTATGTTGTGATTATGGACTAATCATGCAATACAAATAATTAAGTTTTGATATAGTCATCATATTATGACCATTGATGTTTATTGTTTGATATTTTGATATATAAGCCCAATAGGCCTCAATCAAATATTCAAAGATAAAAGCAAAGTCGTAGTTTCTGACGATAAGCTGGCAGATTTACTCGTTACTTTCATAATTCTTCCACTATTCAGATCAACATTAATAATATCTCTGTATTCTTAGGATTTATAAGTGGTATAAAATATGCAAAAATCTCTGCTCTGAATATCTTAGTTTCGCAAAAAATCATTTTTTTCTTTTTTATGAGAAATATTTTTCAGTTTAATTTTTTTACATGAATAAACAGCTTTAGTTTTAAAATTAAAGAGAAAATTTGAAATAATTTCCCTTTTTAAAAAGAATGTTGAAGTAGAAATAAAACGTTTGAAAATGTTCTTCATTTGTTTTAATTATTCTTAGAGCAGCGATTTTTGCTCTAATGGTGCACTATTAATAATAAAAATGAAGAAAAATTATACATGTACCATCAAATTTAACAATTTTAAACAAAAAACTTAACAAAAAGAAATTCAATGTTTACTTAATTTCTATTGAGCCATATCTGATTACTATTAATAAATACATCGCTGAAAGTTGGGAAAGATAAGATATTACCTAAGTAAATTATCTTGTCCTTGCATACTGATTTTCTAAATCAAAAAAAAAAAATAAATAAATAAAAAAAAATAATAATAAAAAAATAAAAAAAAAAAATACAAGTTAATATAACATTCAGACAAACAAAAATACAGAAGGTTAATAGATATATTTTTTCCATCTTCATACTCATAAAAATTTAAATCTTGGGTACACGTTGTAAGTATATGCGTACAAATCACTGGCACACTTAGAGGAAAAACCCAGTAGGCCGGGCCCTTCTTTTGTGTCCAAAAATATTTATATGATTAATAAATAATTTTTTGGGTGTGGGATATTGCATTAATTATTCCTAAAATATAGCTAAAATAAGATTAAAAAAAAATTATTCCTAAAAAACTCCTAAACTAGATAGCTTTCGGGGGTTTTGTCTCCTGGGTCCCAACCCCAGCCCCCAACTGATACCCCTTTTTAAGAATCCTGGATCCTCCACTGCAAATTCTTTAAAACAAGTCAATGTCTTATCGTACTTCATGTCATAAAAATCGAAATTTACACAAACCATTTTCAAGGAGGAGAAAATCACACTAAGCCATTTTCAAGAAAGAATGAAATGAATGAGTAGTGATCAATCAGTAAATACAGAATCATTCAGTTGCAACTAGATGGTTCAGCTACAAGTTTTAAATTCTATATTAAACTATAAAAGTTTTGTATTTATGTTTCATAAACATGTTATAGGAATCCCCATAACAGGCAGTATCAAATGTTGCATAAAGACTATTGATCGATTTGTCTGTAGAGTTAAACTATTTCCATGAAGTGATACTAAATAAGTGAAGATTAAATTGATTGAGGGTTTTTGGTGTAAAACACAACAGCAAATTATATTCTGTTAAGCCATGAATATATTTCCGCTTTAAAATATTTATGAACGTATCTGACACCTAAAGAAAGGTACCATTACATACTCAGCTTTTCAATATTTATCACTGAGCAGAGATCTACGTATTATTATTATACATGTACATTTAATCCAAAAAGACTTATTTCTCTAAGTATCGCTTCATGTATTCATTCCTATTTTTCAATTATTTCATTCCAAGCACAGAATTCAGTAAATAATTATGCGTCACTTAGTTTCTAGTGAAAATTTGCAGGAAAGTGTGACTTTCCATTAACATAAACTACGAATTTCAAAATTCAGTATCTTAATTTCCAAAATTTTCAATGTCATAATATAATCTGCTTCCGCTTTCTTTGTCAAAGCTTTCTCAATATTCAGTCCTTTTTTCACAAGCATGGTTAAAACAATTTAATGCACTGAGAAAAAAAAACTTCTTAAACTTCTTTACAAACGGAGATACTTAGCAGGATCTAGTAAAAACCCATTTACAATGTATATAATCCTCAAGAAAATATTTAGCAATGAATTAAGAGAATGTTTAGCAGTACCTTGCAACAACATAAAATAAAACTGGTCCTGATCAAATGTGGATACTTGAAACTGCAAAAAACACATTTGCCAAAATTAGTAACATCAAGCATATGACTTTTCAACATTTTATTTGACCTTTCCTCACGATGTATTAAAGATCAATATTCAATAAAAACGGAAATCGGAAATTTTCATATCTTGTGATGGGTAATCTACAAAGTTAACTTACTTTGTTAAGAACCTATTCCTCATTCTGATTCAAATATTCTAAAGTTGATATTCAAAGATGCTTGAGCTCCTAGTTGACAATATCTATTCTCTGGAAACCTGATCTTCCAACAATTGGAATTTCTATGAATACTACTTGTGCTCATTTATTAGGAGACCTGTTTTTATATTCTTACGAAACAGAATTTATTTAAAAACTCCTACATGAAAAGAAAAAAAAAGTTTCTTGCTCTGGCCTTCAATTCGTTGTATAAATATATCATATATGTTTTATCAAAATGAATATTTTCATTCATACGTTGATTCGAATTATTCCACTGAACTCGAAATAAAATACACATCAAAATCTGACACATCTGTTTCATATTCAGATGTTTTATTAGAAAAAAAATGATAAAAAACAAATAATTCAAACTTATGATAAACGTGATGACTTCAGCTTTTCTATCCTCTTTTCCCTATTTTTGAAAGGTGTATACCATTTTCACCTTAAAATGGTGTTTATCTCTCCAATTTAAATCGATACACAAGAACATTTTCTCCGTAAAAATAGCAAGAATAGGCTATGATACGATAATAATTTGAAGTTTCAATAGTATTAACTATCTTGTTAAAGTAAAAATTTTGCAAATTCTATGCAAAGTCGATAATAGCCTTGTTTGCAAGTACAACCTGCGGTTAAGTCGAATGGTTGCTGACCTTTTTGATTCAAATGTTACAACATACCGGTAATTTTCATAATGGACGGTGTATGGATTACTCTGTTTATCCAAACAAGTCACATGATTCAGGGCGGATGTGATTGGTCCACAGAGCATGCTTAAACACCTCCATGGTACTTGATGCCATCTTTGATGTTTTCAGGGGTCCGTGTTTGCTCTACTCTCAATGTGTATTGTTTGATTAGACTTTGGATATGCGTATCTTCATATCGTTACCTTTATATTCATCAGGTCAGACAAACTGTTTCAGAATTGGGTGAACCAAAATTGAGAATGTATCAACTTTATCCAACTTTGTTAAAGAGAACGCTATGGAAATGTCTAAACCTTACAGTAGTCGCTATACAAAACATAGACATGATAATTTTAAATAAAAAGGACTAATCATTAGAGTCCTTATTTCTCAAATTTCATAACCCAGATCTCATTTTTCCAAAAATGATAAAATGCGTTTGTGTGATAAATAATAAGAAAAATGCACGTGATCAACATTTGATCGATGTTTTCTCATACATAGGTTCGAGTTATCCCGAGTACGATCTCTCCAGAGGTCTATTTAAAGATTAAAAATAATCACATGACAGGTTAAAAACGAGGATTGAAAACGCTGAAAGGTTTGTTTATAAATTCATTATCCAATTCAATTCTCTTTATTGAGGTTTCATATATATTAATTTGAAAAGTAAAACGTTAAAGACAATTAAAATAACGTATAATCTCAATCACCAATATACTATCACTGATTTACTTTTCGAAACCAGCCAGAATTATGTATATTTGTATGTCTGTAAGAGAGAGATTGATTCAACATGAATCATTTAAAATGTAAATGTTCCTGCTGAAATCCCACTAATCGGAAGAAATCGTTATTACTTTTCAGTAAATACCATTATTTTTCTTGGGGGGGGGGGGGGGGAGGGGGTTTACAAGGAAAAGTTTACATGAATTGATGTTAATTTTGATGATATTCTTACTTATTTCTTTTAGAAAAAAGTAAAAATGAGGAGAAAACTAGCTGGCGTTACAATCTATGTGTTTTGTGTATTTCTACAGTTGTGTATACAAGTCAATGGTAACCAAAATTGTAGGTATCAACAATCCACTCGATATTTCTTTCTTTTCACATCTGTACATATTCAGACCTTCATTTAAAGAAGAAAAAATCGGTAGTCCACAAAATATTTATAGCGTTGATATATTTACAGTTGAATTTTCATAGTTGATTAGATAGTTGATGATTAAACATTATATACAATGAAATATATGAAGATAACGAACAGTTTCAAGCTCAAAAGTCCATTAAAAAATAGGAGCAGAGCAAACACGGACCTCCAAAAAATCAGAGGTGGGATCAGGTGCCATGGAGGAGTGAGCATCCCCTACCGACCGGTCACATCCGCCGTGTGCTCCTTGTCATGATCGGGAAATAACGGAAAAATCCGTCGACAATTCAGTGTGTAAATAATGATCTAACAATTAGTATGAAAAAGTATGAAAAAAAAAAATTAAATTAAAATTATATATCAAATATAATTTAAATAAAAATATTAGTATTTAGACATAACAGACACAGAATTTATTCTTCATAAATAACTGTACTTATATAATCATATAATCAATCAAACAATTCTTTTACTAGACACATTTGGAGATGATTGCGGAAACAACACTAGAGAGTTGGCTGATGATGAACCGATGTCTGTATTCTACAGAGGGAGCAGCGACATAGTCTGTAATGGGATGACCTTTGAATGTATAGAACCTTGCAAAGTGTGTGTTTCTGTAAAACACTTTAACGATCCTGATTGTGCCATTAGACTTCAGTTGCAAAAGTCCTGGTTGGGGTCAACCTTACGTGTAGGTTTACATCAAGGCTACCGAAACCTTTCCTATTTCTATATGCCACTATGTATTGTATGAAATGCTTATATACATCCTTTGCGAGATAAATATATGTTATATTTCTTGTATTTCTTGTTTAAAACTCTTTAATATACGAAACAACAGGCATCTTTTAGGATAAAATTCTTGTGATTCCCATTTTGAAAAAAAGAGGAGCCTTTCCTTTTTTTTTAATCTTTATTTTAAAAAGATTATAATTATGCTCTTAATAATATTGGAAAGGGGAAATATTTAGAATATTGACCAAGATGAAAGATAAGTCATAAGTTTTGATATTTAAACGTAACAAAAATTCTCAATCATTCCAAGAAGTTTATCATATCAATGAATAAATTATGTGTATTATATTTCAGACTGTTACTTGCAAAGAAAATAAGGAAAACAAAATCTGCCACTCATCTTCAATCTTCATCTACTTAAATACTTTAAGCACCAAATCGACGGGAAATGTAACGTTTGATCTTCTTTTAACGTCGGAAAAAGACGAAACAAGTATGTATATATAGAAGCAAAGCTTTTGCTAAAATGCACTAAACTTAGACATTGATATAATCTCACTATCAGATTGAAAACACATTAGGAACTTTGCATATTCACTTTTTGTTATTTTTCCCTATTATTTAGTATCATTGATTTTTATATCACTTATGTAGAGTGTCAAAGCAAGAGTAAATTGGATTTTTATTGTATTCATTGCTAGTTTCTTCATAGGACAAATTTACGACGAGTCTCTCTCACAACATTATCCTAGAAGTATCAAACAAATTTGAAATCGAAGGAAAAAATCATTATATATAAATTCTTTCCTTTGAAAGCAGTCATATGTTGTTTTTGCTGTAGCATTATTTTTGCTGCTTTCTTGAGAGAACAAAAGAATAATTGTAATGCAGTACCCTTACTAGAGATTTCTTGCAAAAACAGTCTCTTAATTTTCAAATTAAAAGCTGAGAAAGAATAATGAATAAAAAAGCAGGAAATTAATTCTGATGTTCTTAACGAAATTGCAATTTGAAATATTTTTGTTGCTTACAGATTGGGCAATAATCGGGGGCGTGATAGGGGGAGTGGTCGGAGGATTAATTTTGGTTACCGTTATCACTGGTTTAATTGTCCGAAAGGCATGCAAATTACGAACATCACAAGGCCACATTTACAGCCAAGGAAATACAGGTACTTTTAATTCCAATGTTCCTTTTCTTAAGTTGTTACAAAGTTATGTAATTACAGCACAGACAAGCCTACCATTATGTAAAAGAGTTTTTTTAAAATAATGTACATGTACATTGAATTTCTTAATTAGAAATTGAAAATGTTGAAAACACACCAAATCGAAATTATGACTCCTTTTAATAAAGAACTCACATCTAAGACGATCGATCCTATATGGTTTTAGTCATTGCCTACTGATGAAAGCTTTGTGAAAAAAAGTTTCATGAAGTTAAATAATTGTTTTTTTTTTGTATTACATTTGAAATCACAAAGAATAAGATAAACTACAAAAGAAAATCTTGAATTGGAAGTATGTTCTTCGTATAAAGAGCTCCAGATTGCATCGGAATGCCAGAACAAATACTGTTATTGAACAAAACCTGTAGTTAACATGTTCTTTTTTTCACAGTTCCAATAAGCAAGAAGTCTTTTCCTTGGTATTCCAGCAATGAAAACTCTCAACTTCCAACCGGAAGTTAACAATACTAGCCACCCGCAAGAAGCTATCAAACAATATCCGGTATTAGGAAGATGGTTGATACCTTGAAGACGTAAACTGAATACGATTTAAGTTCCATTGACGACGTTTATTTAGATCATATTTATATGTTATCAATTTCAGAAATGTCTTAATTGTTATTCTTATATTTGAAATTCATCTTTGCACGTATTTGAATTGTCTACCTATTTTTATCGACAATTCCTGACTGTTATAGTGCCAAGGAGAATAGGACATTTTTTCATCCATTAATAATTCTTTCATACATTCTTGGACTGAAAAATATATTTTCATCGATGCAAATATATATACAGGAAGACAAGCGTTTTGTCACAAGAGTGTCTTTCATTAATTAACGATTTTCAATTACCAAATGAATGAGTAATTCAGCTTAGTATAAGATAAACATAATTTCAAGTTAATTTTGCTTGGATAATAATGATTGTATGTAATCTCGTGACGGAGAATTTATCACAGAATGCTGGTTACTTTTAAATCTTACGAACACAATGAACCAAGTTCATTTGAAATTCAAAAAATAGCGAATATTTGTTTATCATGATTGATAATTATATCCATGAAAATGAAGGAATCTCCTTGTGATAAAGTCTATGTTTTTTTTTTTTTTTTAGTGACATATTATGCATACATGACATTTAAGATTCAATGTATATAGAAATTTACAATTCGCACCTTGCACGTTGGTCGTAAAAGTCACTTCATATGATTTTTAAATCACTGCATACGTTTAATATTTTATGAGACTATTTATGGACAATAATAAATAATATTTTTGATTTACAATTTTTGAGCAAATTTTCTTTGGGAGATTATTTTTCTCATGAGTTTGTAGGCAGAGTTTTATTATCTAGTAGTTTGCAAGGGGTAATTTTTGATTAATGAAACTAATAGAAATGAAGAATTTGATCGATCTTTTAATGTGAATTTATAATGTATCTAAAAAAAGAATAAAGAATGAATCAACAAACTTGTTACACTGATGAAGTCAAATATGATAATATTTATTAAACATATTCTTCTCAAAGTTTGGAAACAAGGTATATTACCTTTTATCTTGCACTCCTGATTTATAGATGAATTATTGACTGTTTAAGATACAGAGAGGATATTCGATGGTTTGTAATTCGAGATGGAGTTTATTTCATGAAAGGAACAGAAATAAATCTATATTCACCTAGAAATCATTGAATTTCCATTTTATTATATTTTCTTTCTTTTTCTTTTGTCCTTATTAGCTAAGAGATGTAGGTGCTATTTTCCAAAGGTGAAAATAATAGTTGATATTTTCATAGTGTGTGTAAAAATATAAATGTTATTCAAATTAAGGTATTTTTATTAAAAATATAATAAATACTTTTATTAGGAAGCTCTATCTTGTTTTACATGAAAAATGGAAAAGGTATTAAAGTTGTTTTCTTTTTCAGTGTTAATTTTAAATTTGCTTGAGTGTTAGTTCTATATCAGATGATTGATTCTGAAATAGAATATTCTTATACCCTCATTTTCTTCACTGTTTTCACTATATTTTTTACCTGAAATATCCATCACAACAAGCAGTTTTCCCCTTTTCCGTTTATCTTTTTTGGAATTTGGCTATCTTGAACGATGTAAAATTATATTTTAGAATTAGAGTTGTATCTAAATTACATTTAAAGTCCTGGTGTCGCTGCAGATGAAATTAATAGTGTCAGAGAGGAAATGAGCTCAATTTTACATAAAATCAATTAAAATAATTTTGGTAGCCTTTAAAGACCTAACCATGCTTGTAAATACCCGATGTTTGACCATTCAGTCGGTTTATTTATGGCTGACTATTCACCCAAAACGATTGACCTAGCATAAACCTTTAAATCAACAGACTGGTCAATATTAAAGTACTAGGTCAGTCTACCCAACCTGGTCATTTTGTATAGAACTGTATCAGTATTATCGAAAAATAAGTTAAAATCATAAGAACTTGAATTTCAATCCTGACATTTCGGATATTTAATAGTACTCATTTGTGCATAAAGGCATATTCTGAAGTGACACAAACCTAGTGTAATGACTAGGACTTTCATGCTTCACTGAAAGGTTTGTTGATTATTTTGAAATTTTGAGTTCATGGCCATGTACCAGATTTGCCATATGTTATTCATGTTATAAGATCATTAAATTTAATTATATATAGGTAAATGAGTGATTTATTATTTCAATGCGTTAGAATTTAAGGAAAAACTACGATTGCACAATTACAGTCTAGAGATTAATGTTTACACTTTCGAATTCAGAAACTCGTGACCTAGATATCGACCCGACAATTATATACATAACACATACAGAAAGTTATACAGAACTTATTATAATCATAATCAAATCTTAATCATAAAGTCCCATTAAGATACACGAGATGTAACGCAATAAACATTCACACAGCAGATTATTTGAATTACGGATATATAATTAACGGACACGATGTTTATATTAATGGTTATATCATGGATATTTGTCAATGTAGAAATCCTTAATTTCAAAATCTATTGAAAATGGCGCAAAAAGACCATGTTATTTACAAGACAGACTTAAAGTAATTGTTCATGAATCAATCATGTTACTTACACAGTGCAACTTGTATATTAGATCTAGAAGTTTTATTGCAACTACTTTGAAAAAAAAAATGACACAAAAATGACATTTCAATTTTTTCCTTAAGAACTGATTTATCTTTGAAAATAAAACCGTCAGAGCTTATTTCGGTATTGTGATTTAATATATAATGTATTTTTTTTTTAAATTATTAAATCTATAGATGATTTAAAAAAAGAAAAAGAAAAAAAGGAAAACAACATATATTTAATCACAGCTGGTCACTTACTTCAAACATTTTTCCCCATAGATTATGAAAAAGGTATTAGATCTATCTTATATAAAAATCCATGTAAGGTTTAATCCTTATTCAAGATTTCCCAGTAGAAATCTTGAATAAGAATAAATCTTAAAGTATTAATACAATGTATAGATTTGAAGGAAACGGAAAAAAGTGAAAGTTTTGAACATGAATGAAAACTTGCAATTTCTTAATATTCTATAGAAATTTTAGTTTGATATTTGCATAATTTACAACCAAAATAAGGCGAAAAAGGTATATCAAACCATGCATACATTACTTACTTGTAGCGTGTCTATTTGTTTGTAATGTAAGGAGAAATGTTTCTGACAAGCGCAGCTTGTTTTTGCTGGATACTTTACATATATATGAAAGAAAGAAGAACTACATGTTAAATTGTCATCTATGAAAACAAATAACCAAAACTGAATTTACATATCTCATAATCTTAAATAACAATTGACTGGACTTAAATCAGAAATAGCCTAATACCACAAACCGATTACAGTACTGTATATTTTCCTAATTTTTCGCGAGGAATTAATTTTGCGAGAATTTTTTATGCTTTAAATGCTTAAAAAAATTTCTTGGTGTTGAAATCCATGTAAAATCTCTTGATCAACTGCAAACTCGCAAATTATTGTTCTCACGATATGACGTCCAATAGCCATTTTGCGATATCAAGTACTCGAGAAAAATAAGGAATCTACAGTAGTTAAAGTGCGGAAGCCCATTTAGGAACTATCAAAAATATTTTTGAATTCGATATAACAAATTGTCCAATTTGTTATAACGAATTTAATTCGTCATAACAATTTCTTTGAATTCGTTATAATGAATGCAATCTGTTATAACAAATTTGTTGAATTCGTTATAACGAATTCAAAATTTTGTTATAACGAATTAAATTCGTTATAACGAATTCTGAAACTTGTCATAACGAATTAAATTCGTTTAAACGAATTCTCTAATTTGTTATAACGATTTAAATTCGTTAAAACGATTTCGCCAAATCGTCGTATCGATTTCATACATATTTTTCTATAGACCCTGATTGTTGAATTTGATTTAATGAATTTGATTCGTCATAACAAATTTTAGAATTCGTTTAAACGAATTTAATTCGTTATAACAAATTTGCGTTATAACGAATTCAACAAATTTGTTATAATAGATTAAATTCGTTAAAATGAATTCAAAGAATTTGTTATAAAGAATTAAATTTGTTATAACAAATTCTACAATGCGTTATATCGAATTCGAAAATATTTTTTGATAGGTCCTAAATGGGCTTCCGTATTAAAGTGTAACAATGTACTGACAATTAAAACATGCTGACAAGTACGACTAATTACATGACACAAGGACGACTAAATACAAGACGCATGTAGTCCAGCCAATAGTACAAATGTTAAAAACAACGAAGGCCAAATACATGAGGAATAGAAACAAAGAGTACCAAAAAAGTGAGAATTATGGTCCACCAAAACAAACATTATGTATGTGTAACAAAAAAAAAAAAAAAAAAAAAAAAAAAAAAATGGTAAAAAAGAGTTAAAGATAAAATTCCATGGCTTCTTAAGAAAGAAAACTTTGCTTCAATTTAAGGAGGGATTCTTGTCTGGTTTCTGACTGGATGAAATATTCAAAGTATATTTGCTTATATGTTTTATATATTTAGACGTAAGAGATTTAAAAGATCATATTTTTCTTTCCTCATCACAATTGTACAACTTTAAATAGAAATGTTAAACTGAGTTTGAAATCTAGCAGGGACTATATTTTTGGCGGAATGGCGGCGTATGAAAATATCTTCTTTTCTGCCTCTCAAAATAATTATAGAACAATTAATTTAGTTATAATTTTTACACAATCAAAGACTTGGAGAAAATCTTTAAATGTAAGTTAAATTAACAATAAGGGACTAAAGTTTTAAAACATATCAAATAAATATGATTTTCCAAACAAACTACAATTATGTTAGCTTTTAAAAGCTTCCAATCTAAGTTCAAATTTGAGCCAAAAATCCATAAAAAGTGTTTTTTCTCTCTTAGTAAACGGTCAAAACTTTTTGTTTTTATATCATTTTGTATCTTTATGTAACAACTTTACCATATGTGAAAATAAGAAAAATTTAAATATAGGAAGCATATAAAAATAACTAAAATATCTTAAAATTTTAAGAAAAATATAGAAAATTCGGATTAGCCAATATCCATTTTAGTTAAATTATTTATGTCAATTTGGTAATATCATCTTATAGACCCTATATGGTAATATCTCTTTATGCAAAGAGAAAAACATTTAATTTCTTGAAATAGAAGTAGGCATCGCATGATTGGAAACAGTAATTTTTATTCTTTATGTCCAGGGAAAAGGTACTGACCTTGACCTGACCTTGTCTCTAATATAAAACGGTCAAATTTAATCTAATTGATACCATCACTTAAGTGATATTGTTTTCTTGATTCTGCGAAAATTTCATTGATTTTCAAATATAAGAAATAAGTGTTCCTATGAGAAGAATCCCTCCTTAAATGCTTGATTTCCTTTTTTTTTTAATTTTAAATCACGATGAATTTGTTACCTACTTGTCCAGAGCTTAATCAAGCTGGGAGCAAGATGTATAAAAATGTTTTGCATTTGCACTGTGTATTCAACATTTTATGAGATTTGTAATACTTACATCAATAATGTATTCAATGTTATAAACTGTTTACATAGTTGTACATTTATT